GCATGTTTGTAGTTACTTCGATGTCTGACTTCAGTGCTTCAGCTGGTATGTTGTCGGGTCCTACTGCTTTCCCACACTTTATTTGTCTGATGGCCATTCTGATTTCATCCCTTGTTGATGGATTGACATCTATAGGAAGATCTGTGTGTGCTGCTTCGATGTCCGGTGGATTAATTGGAGCCGGCCTATTCAGGAGTTCCTCGAAGTATTCTACCCATCTGTTCCGCTGTTGTTGAATTTCGGTGATTGGCCTGCCTTCTTTGTTTTTGACCGGTCTCTCTGGTTTACTATATTTCCCTGCTAGTTTCTTCGTTGTATCGTAAAGCTGTTTCATATTTCCTTCTCTAGCGAGTTCTTCCACGTACTTCTTCTTGTCGGTTCTAATGCTTCTCTTCGCTTGTTTGTTTGCTTCTATGTATTCAGCTTGTGCTTGTACTTTCTGTGCTCGTGTTTGGTTGTTGTTAATTGCTGTCTTCTTGTTTTTCCTTTCTTTGATCTTGTCCAGAGTTTCTATAGAGATCCACTCCTTATGATGGTGTATCTTTAGGCCCAGAACCTCCTAAAATGTTGAAGTTAATGCTTCTTTGATACCTTTCCAGTTTTCTTCCATAGCAGTTTCTTCCTTCAGAAGATCCTGTAAGGCTTGGAACCTGTTGTTGAGAGCTATCTTGAATTCATTGAGTCTGTCAGTATCTCGAAAGAAAGGCTGTGTTGAACCATTGTCCATTTCTTTTGTAGCTTCGGTTTTAACTTAGCTACAACTAGGTGGTGATTTGAAGCTATGTCAGCACCTCTCCTGGTTCTCACATCTTCCACTGTCCTTCGGAATTTTTGTTGATGCAAAAATGATCTATCTGGTGCTCAGTGGTGTGGTCCGGTGAGATCCATGTAGCTTTGTGTATACGTTTGTGTGGAAATATTGTGCCCCCTATGACCAATTTGTTAAATGCACACAGATTTGCAAATCTATCTCCATTTTGATTTCTTTGTCCCAGTCCATGTCGTTCCATGATATCTTCATATCTGGTGTTGTCTATTCCGACTTAGGCATTTAGATTTCCTATTAGAATGGTAAGGTCCTTTCTTGGACACTTCTCTATGATTGATGGCAGCCGCTCGTAGAATTGATCTTTAATGTCGTCATTGCTATCATTGTTGGGTGCATAACATTGGATAATATTCATTGTGATCCCCTCCTTCTTTGTTTTGAATGATGCTTTGATGATTCTGGATCCGTGAGATTCCCATCCTACAAGTGCATTTCGTGCTACTTTGGATAGGATTAGAGCAACTCCCTGAGTGTGTGGGGCATTTTCCTCTTCGTGACCGGAGTATAGCAACATCTCTCGTGTATTTAGCCTTTGTTGTCCAGCTTGGGTCTAATGGGTTTCGCTGATTCCCAGTACTGCCAAGTTGTATCTCCGCATTTCCGTTGCTATTTGACTGGTCTACCCGGTCTCCCACATTGTTCGGACGTTCCGTGTACCTATAGAAATTGTTGCTCTGGTTGTTAGAAGGGGCATCGGCCTCGTGGCTTCCGAAGGAACTTGGCCTTCACCATGAGGTGTCATAATTCTTCTAAATGAAGACCTTCTAACTTGAATGGTTCGAATTATTTTCTCTGGTTAGCGCTTTTTTGGCGTGTTAGTTTTCTACGGGATGGGGTCGCTAACCCAACGCCCAACCCTCCTCCTGTACCCGGGCTTGGGACCGGCAGTAATTCTAGAAGAGCTTCAGGCGGAGTTGATTGATCACTGGGTGATGATTAATGTCATGTATATCAGGTCCTTCTTAGTGAAGATCGAATCCTGTCGACCAAGCTGTAATTCGGTCACCAGTTTATGTGACTCGCATTGCCTGAATTATGTTGAGATAAGATGGTGGTACACCTTACTAACGAGTATCAAGTCCAGAATTTCCTGTTGACTACCTCCAACCACCATGTTAAATCATTTAGCATTCAAAGACAAGTTAAAATAAAAATTGAAAATCAATCACTTAAAAATGAATGGGATAGAAGGAAGGTCGTTGTTACTACTCACGTTTGAATAAATCTTATTGGTAGAAAATATTAATCTTTTAGCATGGCACATACCCATATCGATAAATATTGTTAATCGTAGCCATACGATAACGACAGGACCTGATTAAATTAGCAGATAAGTAATAAAAGTCAATGTTATCGTGTTGACAGTTAACTTAGTATATAATAAACCGAGTGTTTTCCTGGTAAAACCAACCTATGACATCAAATACATTGAGTGGAAAGATTATGCGTCAATATGTAAGAATAAAAGATGGTTTACAATACTATTTATAGATATAACCAATATGTATATGATCTACATCAAAGATTTATAAATGTTAACAAAGCATTTAAGAACGTAGAAGTGTTTATCACTGATTCCACTGAATTTTAGTACACATTTGCCAATAACAAAATTTTTAGCTTGTTCAGGATACACTCACATGTCATTCATGTTATTTTTCTTTAATTATGGTGCTTCATGTTTCATTACTGATTTATAAAAATGTCTATTTACGGAAAAGTACATATTAAGCATTATGCTTTCCTTAAGCACAGTTTAATGATGTCTCAAATCCACTTTGGTGGAATAAATAATGTAATGATGATGATCATTAAGAACTCAGGTGGATGATTTGGTTGATGTTTTTAAGTTCTCCCTGTCAGACAATATAACCAACAGCATTGATAGATCTGCAATTGAATAATCTTCACTAAACAATTTAACAGGTTTAGTACATTCGTAATTCATGAGTTCACAAATTGTTAGATATCCACATCCGTCTGTAAATCGACTAGATATAAAGAAGTTGTCCAAAATTATGTTTAGAGTTTTAAAAGCTCTTTGGAAAGATATAGAAACTAACTCCATTATTTTTTTTTGGTTGAGATCATGAATCAATTGATGTTTGACCACCGTTGGAAACCTGGAAGCACTGGACGGCCGTTTCGTCCTAGTATGGGACTCCTCAGCAGTGCGCATCCACGACCCCGCACTTCTGAGGAGTCCCATACTAGGACGAAACGGTCGTCCAGTGCTTCCAGGTTTTCAATGGTGGTCTAGCTTCAACTGACTCATGATTTCAGATTGTGTAAGTCTAGAGATTAGCTTATAATTCAATATATCTCATCTTTAGTGCACAGAATTTGATTACAACTCATCACGTAAAAAATTTATCACAAGGATAGTAATATTCACAGTTGACATGTGTTAAATCAATGATAATCAAGGATAATTTAACGGGAATTTTATTAACTCAAAAGACCTTGTCCTTAGATCAGAATGATGAGTAATCAGGTTAAATAAAAGAATGTACTTTTTTTTAAATACTGAGTTAATATATCCAATTAGTTGATGACAAAGAAATTTAATGACCAGATTAGTTTTGTATAGAAATTAATGTAAATTTCACATTCATACAAATTTTTATTTACGCTAAGAAGGCTTTAAATTACCTAACTTCTGTATTTAAATCTGTGAAAATTTCTAAAATCTCCACAAACCCCTTCTGATAATAATCATCTGCTCACTAGTGACTGACTTCAAGAGATACTCCTGGAGTTCTAGTGGGAAGCCGTTACCAGTGGAGTTCAACCAGGTCTGTTGTGAGATATCAGCTCACTGAAGACAATGGTATATGGTGGCGCGACTTCGTGGATTGGTTGAAGTTAGACATTAACACCGTTGGATGCCGGCTCAGTGGTCTAGTGGTTAAGTGCTCGCGCGCGAAGTCAGTAGGTCCTGGGTTCGAGCCCCGCATGGTGCAGGGTCGTGGATGCGCACTGCTGAGGAGTCCCATACCAGGATGAAACGGCCGTCCAGTGCTTCCAGGTTTTCAATGGTGGTCTAGCTTCAACAAACTTGTCTACTTAATGAACAATTCCAGTTATGATCATGTTTTACATACTAACCATTGTATTTTTCACAATTTCAAGATCATCTTCTCATATGGTTGTAGAATATGTGAAATACGATTTCTTGTGTTCAATAGTATTTGACTTAATAATTTAACAGAAACCGTTATTGTTCGATCTAAGTCAAATACTCTTTATTCCGATCACATTTAAAATGTTACCATAAAAAAAAAATATATTTAGTAGATTTACTGATTTCAACATAACTTACTGAATGTAAGAATATAATTTGATGATTTCATAAACTTAATAGTCTTATGTATTTCAAATAGTTGATTCTCATGTTCTTTTATCAAAATTTCTGAAGTAATTTTAGGTAAAATTTCGTAAGGTTTGATTTTTAATTCAACATAACTACAGTCCGCAAGTGATTCCATCGAAGACCTTTAAGTATTAAAAAATATTTTGGCACAGTTAATCGAACCCAGAGCTATAAATACGAAAAACGATATCACGGTAATCCCCTCAGGATGTACGTATGCAAACAGGCTGATTAGTGTTTGAACTAAAGTATGACATATTAATTGTTTTGGGAAATTAATATTCATAGCGTCTAATGCTGAAATATAATTGTCTATCAGTAGTGTACAATCGTTGCTTCAGATTTAAGTTTATGCCACTACACAATTTTGATCTATCATAATAGTTATCTGATTCCTTACTAATTCAGCTTATTGTAATTTTCAGTTGAAATCCTTGATATTATTACACTTACAGAAATGCAACATTGAATTCCCTATCAGAAAACGCGTTGAAGCTATAAGTTTCGAGATACTATAGTACCTTATACTTTTTGAAGTAAGCGAGATAGAATACACTAGTTAAGGTACATTACCTAGTTGTAATTCACAAACGTCAAAATATCCTACCTTTGTTTTCGTGACAAAACTCATATCGTCAAATACAAGCTTAACCAATCAAATGTGGGTTTGTAGGTCAAGTTAATTCACGAAAATGATTCGTTCATTTGATCAGAAGGTAAAACAAACTGTTATGATTGGCTGAGCGTTTATTTCAAGGTTGTTTCTTTACACGTGCTGCCCACGCCATACGAATAAACAGTTTTAGGATCTTAGCTTGCAAGTGGACCAAACAGCTCACAGAGAAGTTAGTTGGTGTTTTGTTTTATATATTTTATGGTTCAAGTGACATCTGAATTTTCCTCTATCCATTTGTGTGAAACTTTGCACAAGGTTTACTTGGATATGTTCATAGTCGGAAACGTACAATTAATACATGCACTTAATGGCAAACTATTCGAATGGTTGAAAACACAATTTCTGGACGAACCAATAAAGTTAAAGATGGCAAGTGTTGGATTTTGACGCGAAGTCGATTTATCTTTATGGCTATATAGTATTTCGATATTATCTGTGATTGCTGACCCTAACTTCAACCTTTCAATCCCAATCCTAATTCCTCACTAATTTATAACCCTCTTTTGACCATAGTAAATAAGTTTTCTCAAGGTCACCTTGGGATGTCGTCCATAAATTGTGTTCCGACCCACTTTCATTTAGAATTATGTTAGTTCGTTTTCTAGTGTGATGTAACATTCAGGAATTTCACCTTACGTTGAATGTAGTAATATACGCTTATTTTAACATTTATTTTATCCCTTTCAACACAATTGTATTATCAGAATGGGAATTCGTGCAGGCTGTAGTAGTTTTAACAGTTGGATTCATCAATCGATCTAAGCTAGACCACCTGTAAGCACTGAACAACCGTTTCGTACTAACCTGAGACTCCTCAGTGCTAAGCGTTGGCCCGTGAAACCGAAGGTCCTGTGTTCGATTCTCACGTGTTGGATCGTGGATGCGTACTTCTGAGGAGTCCCATGCTAAAACAAAGTGATCGTTTAGTGCTAACAGGTTCTCAATGATGGTCTAGCTTAAACCGACTCATGAATTCAATAATTGTATTAATAGAATTCTTTGTTTTATTAGTTGCGTAATGTGTTACTGAATAAAAACAATTAGCTCAAATACTATTGTTGTCATAGTCTTATTAGTAAACATCAATAGTCATTTGATGAACTTATTAATAGGTGATTGGATGCGAAATGATACATTCATACCCAATAAGAATTTTCAGTAATTCCACTCCAAGTGATGATAGTGTTTTTTTAAAAAGCACTTATTTATTTTATTTACTTAAACAAACATTAATACAAGGAGGCAGCAAGGAGTTATGCGCTACATAAATCATTCGATTTATGTGAGGGCTGGGATACTGCTCGAATGCTCAAACCGAAGCAGGTGGTTTTCTTAGGGGGCCACACCCGGAGCACTTGACTTAATGGTCTGATCCACAAGGCAGTGGGGCAACACCAGAAGATGCAATCCCATGGTAGCCGGTGACCAACAATCGGTTCATACGCCATTTGTTTCCTTAGGATCCTGAAGCCCATGTACATCACTGGTTTGGAATGAGGGTTTCCCTACCCTAAATGAATCCTCCATACCCACCAACCCGGTTAAAGCGCCGGACATTCCCTTTTCGTTCTCTGAATTTCGTAAACAACACCGCCGCCATGAGATGGCAGTGAGCAGAACTTTCCAGACAGTGGTTGTGGCCATGTGGAAGCGTTGCGATAGGGAGAATGGACTTAATCGTACTAGAGCATTTTGGGGCTGGAAATGCTCTATTATCTGTTGGTTTTTATTTCTATGTAAGAATACTTCTATTTCTCCACTGATGAGTTAGTTGCACTCACATACCTTCATACCCATAAATATACTTATATTCCTGTATCATCATCATGAAGCATGACAGGATCATATTGGAATTAATATCATGAATCCTTTTTTTATTTGTAACCTCTGATACTATTAATATACTTTCAATAACACCATGTATTTGGTTTCACGAATACTTGACAGATCCTTATGTATCTGCAAAGCAGGTTTTCACCATTCTACTTCCAAAGTGATGTCGGCTGCATTTATTTGCAGAATTGATATTAACTTGTGGTTTGTTTCACGAAAGTAACTGTGAATGATTTTTATTTCATCATGTCATTTTACACTGGAATTTTTAGCACCATTCACATCTAAATTAGTATATAACAATAACATTTCCAAAATAGGTTGTTTGAACACTTTTGTCCACACACCAATATAGAACTGTGTCTGCGTCTGTCTACTGTCTAATCTTTGTCTAACCACCTCAGTTTAGGCAAGGTTTTAATATGAATGAGAAAATACTAGACAGTTGATTCTCATCTACATAAAAATCTTGTCATCTGTTCCACAAATAGTTGTCGAGTTTACATGTATGACCTTGAATCGATCTACGTCACCGATAAAATGTTTTAATCGTTTTAACAGCTTTTCATTCTGCCAATATTCGATTCCTTTGAATATACAAGTGAAGTCTACAAGCCATGTCTTATATTCTGGAATATTATTTTAAAGGTATCCGAAGGTGTAAATTTCTACCTGTTTGTCACATTATCTCAACCATTAGATTGACCGAGAAATTACCCTACAGCAGTATATCTATAAAACAAATAAAATCAAGCTCATCAAAATCCTATCATTTTGGCTTACACACCTATCCACTTGATAGTGACCTTGAAAAATAATATCGATTGACTCGAAATGTGATCACACTATATATATATATATATATATATATATATATATATATATATATATATATATATATATATATATATATATATATATCAAATAGTTCATTCACGATATAAGTGAAATAAAGTTTTCTGAACTAAAGTGCACATAGATTAAGTAACTCAGATTAATGCTATGACTGCTGATCAATATTTTTACTTTGTTATCAATCATTGAGTCATTCATCTCATGTTATGCACTTTAACCACGGACTAAAGGTTATATGTCTCATATTTTAAAATTTTCCTAGTGCTTTAATCAGTAAACAGCCTGGTTTTGTTTACCTACTTTAAAAGTTTCTAAAACGTTTCTTCTCAACTTCCGTTTATTATTTATTTTTGTCCAATTCTCGCCTCATAAACACCATTGATAGGGAAGAAAAGATCTGTTGTAGAGTAATTTTGTCATATGGTACAAATCTATGGGTGAGGGTGGTAAAGGCATTCGACTTTCGGGCTATCACGTCCGAAATTGAAACCCCACCTCATCCACTTAAGTTTGGGTAATCGGGTAGTATCACTGACCATCACATTTAGAGTACAGCTCATGTTCAAGTAATTGATGAATAAATTGACTTATTTCCATTCCTTCATCGCAGCCCTTAAATCTGAATTGGTAATATGCTAAAAACTTCTGTGAACTGACCCTTCACTTCCAGTTATACCTACCTGTTTACTAATAGATATAAAGAACAAATGCCGGTGATAAGTTTGAGCGGCACAGCTGTTTGAGAATGATTTAAAAAGACATCACATTCGCTAACACTTTTCCTATAGCAGTCACTTAGCTACCTAAGAGCATGTTTGATCAAAAAATTCCTGGCGATGATAAGGCACTGGGCATGATAAAGAGCCAGAATTCTCTATTATCTTTGAACAAACCCTCAATATCAACCAATCAAATGTAAACACCGGACTTCTGTTTCCAGTTTTGTGGGAACGCTCTCGTTATCCTCGGCCTTATCAGTACATTTGAGGAATAGGCAAAACATTTTAGATTTCCGTGAACAGCTAAAAGTCGACTGTTTGTAAAGTGTTGCTTTCTGAAGATGTAACTTGAAAAATAGATATCATAATATCCTGCACATGGTGTTATCGAAGGCTCTCAGAATAACAATTTTTGTCAATTACTTATTCGATTGCTTATAATTGTCCGAAAAGAATTACTTAGTTGTATTATTCTTATTAAAATACATCAGTTCAGATGTCCATATGAGGCTAACTGCACAAACCATAGTACTGACCAGCTTAACGAGACAACTGGGATCTCTGTAGCCTAGAGAAGAATAAATTAAGTCGACTTATGATTTAGTTTTATCCAGTTTGGGTCAATAATGGTAGACGGGAGGAAAGGATTTAGTGTTATTTACTATATTCCTTTGTAATCTAATGGGATACAATTTTTTTTCCCATAGCTGAACCTAGATTTTACCTACTTATGCATTACGTCCTTTCTATTGGTTGCGTAATGTTGATTGCTTTTTACGTTTTGGTTCTTATCATATGCTAAATTTTGTTTGTTTTATCATGTTACCTTTATTATTTTTGTTGTTAACATCACATTTGTCACTGTACTGTTGTTTATTTGTTAAATGTTTTTCCGTACCCCACACTTTTATAGTTTGACTTACAAATCGGCATAAATAGCTCACTGTTTTCTATAAATTTATTCATAGTCATGCCTAGTAGAAAGATTCTAAAAAGCATCTAATCATCAAAAAACAGTTGTCCGTTTATTCTTCTTGTTTTGTAATTCAGCAGTTAAAATGTGACACCAATAAATTTTATTTGATATTTGTTTGGAGTAAAAAGACCTTTTAGAGGCAGAAAGTGATGGGATTGAGGTAACTGCACTATAAGATATTTACTAATGATATATTTATGTATTCGTGAAGTTTTCTCTTTGTGTATGCTGTGCATACTGTTATTCTTCCTTGAATTTTTGATTTAAAGTACTTTCCAAAACTGGTAAAACGATAGTGAAATGTTGGAAGCTGAGAAATATGAACAATCATCATCACCGTCATCAGTATCTGATCTTATCGATAGTGAGAATTGTGGAATAGATGCAATTCAGGTTTGTGTTTACCTTGGAAGTCATATTAACCTATTTTAAATGATTCTCTATTGTTAAATTTCATTGTTTTCAAACTATGACTTCCTTTTGGTATGTCTTTATTAGAGTTTAAGGGTTTTGGAGAGATATGTTCTTGGTTAACCATAACAAATTGTATTCGTCACATATTCTCTGTCGCTATTAACAGTAATATAACTAATGTGTCAAGTTTAGGTATATGTACTCAGCCTTGAGTCATGCTATTGATAAGAAGGCTGGTGAAATTGTCCAAACCAATGTATTTAGGAAGTTTTAAACATATAACCGATTGATTGAAAGCCAGCTGCTCTAGTCACTAAGCCACAGCTCCAACGCCATTCTCAACGGTCTGCTATAAACGTGTTATTAGTGATAATATTTCCTGATTTCTACTTCTTATTGAACCGATTTTCAGCTGTTTGATCAAACTAAAGTGCATGAGTCGCATCATACTGTTGCTTGAAGAAACTGACTAGACTGAAAATTTTCCGAAAAATTTGAGCAATTTTTAAAAAATGTTCAACTTGCATGTCTAATCTAAAAGTAAGAAATTAGATCGTTGAAAATTTGCATTGAAAGAGCCAGTTTTCCCTTGTTTGTAATAAGCTTCGAGAAAAGGTGAATTTTACGTGACAATATCCACTTTTACTATAATCATTTATAAGAAAACCTCATTTCTTTGTTGTGGATTTATGTATCATCGTATTTCAATAAGCTATTTCCATAAACCTTAGCTTACAAACAGACTGCTTACCATATGTTCTCACAACCTATTACCCATATCATTTTAGAATGAAATTTAGTTTGGTTGTGGTTTGAAATACTAAAATTTATATACTAGTGTTCTGTGATTTAGAATATATGTAAACGACCCTCATAGTCACTAATTTTTATGTAGAATAGATGGCATGTAGCTAAAAGTAGAATACAGGACGCGCGTTTTTCCCTATTTAGGACTTTTCAGCGGAACGTACCTATCTCTCAGATCTGTTGTTCACTCCTGGATGATTTCTAATGGATTCAAACCAGTTCTAAACGGATTCACAAACAACGTTACGTCTAAGTAATTCAAGCTACCACTGACCTATTGTAGAATTGATATACTTACAGCTGAAAGATCATTGAGTAATGACCACTATCATGTTTGTCTGGTCCTTAAGTACTGGTCAAATTCGATCAAGGTGAAATGTATATATGTATATACGAGGTCTTGTAAATCATGGAACAGTGTATTCAGTTTACATCCTACTTAACATACTCTGCTTTTTATTCAAACAATCCTGATTATTTTAGTCTTTGACTATTCTGTCGTCATATGCATAAGAGTTATTGTATTATTCAACCACTGTCAGGGAAGTTCTACTCACTGCCATCTCATGGTGGTGGTGTTGTTTACGAAATTCAGAGAACGAAAAGGGAATGTCCGGCGCTTTAACCGGGTTGGTGGGTATGGAGGATCCATTTAGGGGAGAAGGGAAACCCTCATTCCAAACCAGTGATGCACATGGGCTCCAGGATCCTAAGGAAACAAATGGCGTATGAACCGATTGTTGGTCATCGGCTACCATGGGACTGCATCTTCCGATGTTGCTCCACTGCCTTGTGGATCAGACCATTAGGTTGAAGGCTCCAGGTGCCTGTTTCGGTTTGAGCACTCGAGTATCCAAGCTCTCACACAAATCGAATGATTTATGTAGCGCATATATGTTTGGTGCTTCCTTGTACCAGTGTTTATGTGTTTGAATAAATAAAATAAATAAATGTTGTGTTATCCAGTGTCATGTGACGATCTAATATTAGGTCAGTCTAATGAACCCATTTTGATTGTCTAGAGAACAGAGTAAAGCTCAATATTTTGTACAAGATTATTAAAGTTGTCTCGTGATTTTTACACTTAAATATTTCTTATTTAAAATTCTGTAATTCTACTATTCACTTTTCCTTGTATTGGCTATGTGTACGTTATCACTATTGAAAATACCAAACGGGAATATTCATCACAGAAATCTTCCAACATTAATGATTCTGTCGGCTGTTCGTCTTCAATTATTCCAGATGAAGTTTCTTCACGTTTCATACCCATAGGATCTTTTCTTTCATCAATACTTGAACCTATTCCACAAGGTCAGGAATTAGCAGTCGGTTCAATGACTACTTCCACAGGTGTGTTAATAGTTTGTTCTCTAAGGAAAAGAATTATGTGTACCATTAGATACCCTAATTGGTAATCTGTGTTTATTGGCCTAATGCATAAATTACAATTTCTATTGATAATTGACATGTCATTTTTCCTCTTTATTGTATGATTGATTTTCTAATGATTTTAGTGGTTGCGAATAAGTGCTTATTGTAAATGATCATCGATCATTTGTTTTAATGCACTATAATAGCGTTTTTTGAATGATCACTTAAACAAATATATACTTATTACGTCAAGTTTTCAACGATAACTGTCTGATTGAATGAATCAAGAGAGACAAACACAGTTAACTATCAGTCACTTATCATCTTTTCTTTTTATTTGGCCCCCAAATGCCCTGGTATGGCCGAGAGTGGGGTGGGCCCGCCCTCCCTCTCGAAATACTCTCACACGGCCACGCGTATATAGCCTCTGCCAGGGAAGTCCTACTCACTGCCTTCTCGTGGCGAGGGTGTTGTTTACGAAAATGAGAGGACGAAAAGCGAATGTCCGGCGCTTTAACCGGATCCCAAACCAATGGTGCACATGGGCTCCAGTATCCTGCGGGAACAAATGGCGAATGAACCAATTGTTGGTCACCGGCTTCCATGGGACTGCATTTCCTTACGATGCTCCACTGCCTTGTGGATCAGACCTTTAGGTCGGAGGCTCGGGGTGTGGCCCCCTAAGAAAACCACCTGCTTCGGTTTGGGCACCCGAGCAGTATCACAGCCCTCACACATATCGGATGAGATTTGTGTGGCGCATATGTATTTGGTGCCTCTTTGTACCATTATCTATGTGTTGAAATAAATAAACTTTTAAATACCGTAAACTTATATTTCTCGATACAGCTTAGAAGTTCTTAGATTAATTTTTACTGAATATACGTCAAATCTAACTTTATAATAAGAATAATAAAGGATTATTTTTTAACGTGGGAATATATTTTGTGAAAATAATGAAAAACAGTATTGTAGCTTATACACAGTTGGAACAGATTCACTAGACAATTGGATATTTGATGTGCATAATAAAAAGCCAATCTATTGATTTCATACGAAATTCGCATGTTGTAGCATATAACGCTAACTTGTAATTGTGCTTGGTGGATTTAAGTGATTGGTTACTGGTGCAAAAAGAGACACTATAGAATGATTTATTTCTTTTTTTTATCCTTATTAAACAGTTTACATTCATCCTTTTATACATTCAATTTACATTAATTATTTTTTAGATGAATCAAAATTCACCGTACAAAATTATCATTCCTCTTCTAATCATCATACAACAACAAAATTGAAAAATGAAGTCTGTTGCCCTTGTCGTTTAGTCAATTCTCGTGTAACACAACAAAGAAATTATCCACGGGACACAGGACAAACATGCAATTCTACAACATCAGTAACAACTAACATAACAGAGACAATCGCAAAGCAAACTATTGTAAGTTTTAGTTTTCAAAATTCATATTATTTTAATGAATTTTCGGTATGTTGTTCACGCATTTATAATAATTTATTATTATTTGTCATACTAATCATATGTGAAATAACAGGTACATAGTTGGATAATTGAAAACAGTTTTCTGATCTTTTGCGGATTCTCCACCCTTAGCCGTACCAGGGCATTTGGGGGCGATATCACCAGATCTCATTTTTGGTTTAGATTTAATCACATTCAAGCGACAGATAGGTATTTTCCTTAGCAATCCAACTTCTTGTAAGTATATAAAGATGCTTTTCAATGAATTTAGTCATTTTGCAGTCGATAATCAACATTCTGTTGTTTAATTAAAGTCTATGTTATGACATTAGCATAACTTTTTTCTCATAGGTGGAGCCTTACATATCAACTTTAATACTAACATAAAGACCCATTAACTAAATACTTGTATTTTTCCTATTTTTGCATATAACTAACATTGTAGAATACTTACATATTAACTTAAGCCTGCTGCTCATCATTGGGCATGCCATCAAAAATACCTTTATGCAGCAATGTATATCAGCTAGTGATTTGTGAACCTCAAGATAATTAGTTGATTTTATGATTTTCTCATTCTAGTGTTATTCATTTATCAACTGCACAAGTTAATGTATTCCTCTTTGATCTACACTGTTTGAGAACCAGTTATAACCAACTGCCTGAAACCAAGGAGAGCAAGTTCTGAGCCCTATGACTAATCATTTAAAAGTTCAGTGCTCTAACCAGTAAATCACCATTCCAAGTTGTATATTCAGCTCTCGCAGTTAACATCATATTGTCATCTCTTCATAATAATTTATATGGAAATTTCAGAAGTAACGTTTGCTTCGAGATTCTATTTTGTTCTGATATTTAAAATGAACATAGAATTCATATCAGATATACATGCAAATGTACTAAACCGTGTAATATATTTACTGGTATTATGTACTTTTATTACAAACCTGTAGACGAAGTCAACACAAATCACACTAGATACTAAACATGTACTTAGCTATCTCATGTGATTTATAGTTAGAGAAAACTTGACTTTTTCTATACTCTGAAACAAATAGTTGTTTTGTTTTCTACATTAAATTAATAGATGAGATGTGAATTCCTCTCGGTTTTTGTGTTCTTTGTTGGTAGGTACAATAGTTAAATATTCTGTTTTCGTTCTGTTTGATCACTCGTTTTATGCTTCTTATTGCTATTGTAATTATCATAGTACGAAGCCTTATTATTCACGTTAATTACAACTGTCCTAAAAGCTTTATATCTGTAGGCTAAATTCCTTAAAAAAACTTTTCTCTCCTTCATCTTACTCATTTGAATTAAAATTAGTAAGTATTATCTCTTTAGTTAGTCTGTTATGTGTAAATCAGTCAGTCAGAATTGAGAAAATCTTCTCTTGAGTTTTTGCATGAAATTCAAAGACGAATAACTGTCGTCTTAGATCACATGAAAAGTCGATTAGAAATATATTTTGGTGATGCTCAAAACATTTAAAATTACGAATAGTTCCTATTTTTGTTATTCTAGACTAAAAATGAGTGTTAACTGTATCGAAATCCTGATTTTTTTTCCTATGTAGACTGTGAATAACACGTTAATCAATCAGTTTGCGTTTCAACTTTGTTAATAGTTAACTCTCAAACAAACAAATTTGTTAGATGTTCATTGAATAGTAGACGATCAAGTGAAGTTTGAATAGCAAGTTAGATGACCATCTCCATGCATGAATTCCGTATATCGATATAAAGATATAATTCAGTTTTCTTTGCTCTTAAACAAGTTGGTTAGTACAGAGTTCCTAGAGGGGATGATGAATTTTCTATGAAACTACTTATGATTATGAGGAAGATTAAAAAAGAAAGTTTAAGAGTGATTATTTACGTTCAGATTCGTAAGGTTATATAGTGATATTTTCACAATATTTTGATTGCATAATTGTCAACAAACCTTTAGAAAAATATTGATCAACTACTTGAAGCTACTCAGTCAGTAAATAACAACGTAGAACTCGTACTTACGTACATCAGTTCGAGTTGCCATACCACATTAACGCAGAGATGCAATTGTCGATTCAAATCTGGTAGTGGTAATAAGAGTATGTGCAGTGATCGGAAAGATTAGCGTTTGAAGATGTTATTCAAGGAGTATAATCCAGTGAAATAAATTTGGAAAGAGAAAACAAAGAGATGTGGAGAATTCAGGAGATTAGAATTTGGGAGAACACAAAGAGTGGTTGCACCTACGCCATTGCAAACGCTTTTGAGCCATGTCATTCAAGGTCTCTAACCATCGGTTGCTGTCGTCTCGTGGATCCCAATCAGGTAGTCTACACTTACCAACATGACTCAGTTCACTTGTCAGTGACTTTATAGATTTGTACCACGTTTTGGTCAGGCCACTCTTAGCTTTCTTCCAGCCTACGCCTACACCATAAGACTACTAGACTCTAATAGGTATCATCACTCCTATTACGAAACATTTTCGATTTATATATATCCTGCTCATTGTCTGGAAAGTGACTAAAAAATTACTGGGTCGTTTTAACTTTGGTGTTGGCTCATCTATATATTTTAGTTTAACCCTTTTTTTTGTTGGACTGTTGGTGTATACTTTGATATTTATCAAAAATTATTTTTTATTGTGGGCATTTCTATTTTGCCAATGTATCCTTAATGAATGTGAACAATGTCGGAAGTGAAATTTCAAAGTTTCTGTTTTATCAGTGCATTAACTTCACTATGAAATGATGATATACTTCGTGATTTAGTCAGCATTTCTATGCTACTAGATCACTTAATCTGTAGAATGTCAATATTAAGCTAGTGGACTAATCGTTAAAGCGTGTGGATTTTAATCACTAGGTACCAGGTTCAAACCCACACTCCATCTACTTTCATTTCGGGCAATCAAGTTATCACTAAGCTTCAAACAAAAATATAACTCAAAATGAAGTACATGAGTATTGACTTGGACACTGAGTTACATCAATGATTTAGTTAATTGACCGAAAGCATAATCATTAACTGACAAGTGCCAAATTGTTTTCATTTATCCATGAGTGTTATAATGGAGGTTTACTAGGACAGCTGAATATTTTCGGTATATTAATAATTTAACTTATCACATGTAAAGACTTATTATTCATTATTTTATTAATTCCGTTTCATAAATTTTATTGATTGATTCATGACCTTGTAGTTTAGCAGCTGATCACAGTTATAAACATGCTTGCTGTATTATAGAAGATTTTTTCAATTTAATAATAGACTTTCTACACTTCCTGTATAAACTGAAATTAGTCTGTTCAATTTCTTAAAATAAAATTGGCAACAATGGAACAATGTAGTGGAATGGTTATTTTCCATCTAACTATGATGGATGGATGTGGTCTTTTTTTATTGATTACAAGTCATTGTCTTCAAAATCTCATTATTAGCTACAAGAAAGTAAAGATTTTTATTCGTTGATGAAATTACTTTGCTTTTCTGATTGCTGTATATTATGTTGGGTCTAGGCAAAACACATGTATTTTCTCGGTGGCTTGATTATCTGGTTTTGACATTCAGTTTTAATCTGTTGAGTTTTCGGAGTGATAAACTATTCCATTTATCAAGTTTACATCATTCACATAAATATCATCGACTTAAATAAGATAATAACTGAAGACCCAATGTACTAGGTTTTAGTCATAAAGCTTCCGTTTGATTAATTTGTCAATGGGAAACGTTTTTTTCAAACTTATTATTCAATTATTCAATTTTAGAAAATCACGTTATTTGGCTGCAAAGAAAAATGTGTTTAGAAAGCGTTTACTTACTAGACTGATTAGTTCCATAAGATGTGTTCATCGTTTTCTATGAGATCTAATTAAAAATAACATTGTTTGTGTATATGTGTGCTGTTCTAATTTTCTTCAGCTCAACAATTTTCGTCTAACATTTCTTTATCTTGCATTAAATTGTTCATAAAGTTGGTGCATGTTCATGTAAACCTTTCAGTCTTAGTAAGAAAATTGTTTCCTACTTTTGTCGGTAAAGCTAAACTATACTCATGGCCTTGAATTTTTTTCTGGTTAACGTTTTTTTAGCGAGTTGGTTTTGTACGAGATGGGGACGCTAACCCCATGCCCAACCCTCCTTTATCCGGGCTTGGGACCGGCAGTAGCCCCCGGAGGCACTCCATGCGCAGTGAAAATAGCTATTTTTTAAACGCAATCACGGATAGCCTGGTGCCAGAAACAATGTTTTTTCACTGGATTTCGTATTTTGGGTAATTTAAATGGCTATATGGTCGTCAATGACTTTTAGAACTACGGACTTTTGAGAAATAAGATTTTATATAACTATGGACAGAAAATGACATGCAGAGAAGGTATAATTTTCAGAGATGAGGTTGTTCTACAACACACTTCATTCTGGGCAAAGACGTCAATGGGAAACGCTTTTTTCGAATGATCGAATTTATAAGTCGTCTACATAACCTGTATTATGATTGTTAGGGTTCGTATGTAAGAGTTACGTTATTCGGGTTACCATTTTTCTGCAGTATTCAATTCATTTGCAACTACTGCACCCTGGCTAACGTTTAATTGGTTAATCTCAAAAATCTATAATTGCCATCAGTAAGGTTCTATCCTATTCACCCTAAATATGACTCCTTTTTAACCTTTAATTCAGTATTTTAAGTGAATTTTCAAACTGTGTATTCGTTAGCTAATAAATAAGTTTTATAATTATCAGTCACATCCATTCCCTGAATGAAAAATGGTTTTATTGTGATTAATAATAACTCAGAATATCGGAAATGACACTGATTAAGATCATCATCGGGTTGTGGCCAAGAAGAAACTGAAACTAAACAAGCACTGGACAGGTATTTTTACAAAGTTGAATACAACCTTCCTTCAATTTACTGACAAACAAACGAATTCAAAATAGTTCTCAGTAATAGTTTCTAAGCCTTATAAGATCTACTCTCCAACTATTCACATAAACTGTAGTACCATTGAAAACTAGAAAGCGTTGTATAGTTTTTTATTCTTGTTTGATACCGATGATGTTCATACAATTATTGTCTGCTGATATTGCTTCACTATTTCGTGAATTGACTGTCGATTGGTCGCAAATTATTGATAAAGAAATCTTGATTTTCTAGGCTCCATTCGTATCAAGGTCGTGTTCAGTTTCCTTTGGTTTTCATTAGAGAAAACTCATCTCCAAACAATTTATTTTTATTCATCAAGCCTATTTGTTGTTTTTTCTGTCTTTCAAATAGTCATACCCTAAATATTTATCTTCTTATCGCAGATGACATTTTCTATTAATTGTGTCAAATAGTCCAGGGTTTATTTTGATTATTTATGTGAATTTGTTTACTTATTATGGGATCAATTAGTCGCGTGACTCATATACCTTTATGTGACTCAATATGCACCATGACAACAACCTTGATACATGAAAAATTAATTCATGATCAATAGAATGTTCATTATCCTCTAAACTATTTATTTTAAATTCTAATTCTAATTTGATTCACTTATTCATAAAATATTGTTATGTATTATCTATAAAAGTGATTGAGAATTGGATTCCACATACTTGTTTAATCTTATTTATCACTCGTATAGTTTTGTTTACCTGTACTATAGTAAATATTCATGTTATAGTTAGTTTGAATTTTGAGTCTAGGCTATTACTGTATTTGATTAGAGGTTTATTATTTTACATGAGTTAGCAGTTGTTATAGGCTCGTTCAAGCGTGTTTTTGAAAATGGAAAGAGATTATCTATACTTCGTGTGTTTTTTTGGTGAATAAGTCAATGAACACTCCATAGTTGATTGTTGTAAATAAGAACAAACCGAAATCATGAACCTAGACTTGTTTTTGTTTATCGTAAAGTATTTTAAGCATATTCTTGTACAATCCTCTATATAATTCTGCGAGTGAGATTTTTGTACCCTTCCCTACCCATATTTATGTGTTTAAATAAAGTTAGTCAATTAGTTACTGTGGTAAATTATTATTGACTAGATTTAAGAGTGATATCTATCGGGAAAATATGCCGCCTGGTGACAAATCGATGGATTGTTTGACTATCTACATAGTTTTTTCTAACTGAAAAGGATTTCAATCTTTCATTGTTCTTATCCTTGTTAATAATTCATCAAAACCTATCCTTAAACTCATTATGATGAGCAAACTTTAGCATAGAGTAGAGATTGACGTAGTAATTAAAAAAAATTGGTAGTAAAGGTTGAATCAAAAGTAAATCACTCACAGGAATTTGTACCAAGCTCCACATTGATTACGACTGACTAATTATAGTGATGACTGGTTTGTGTTCACTGGGTTCGAATTTTTTGTTACTTTTACACTCATTGACACTAAAATGTAATTCATTCACCAGGTAAAATTTAGGTAGTCAGATGTGAACCGCAATGTATATGTGTGACCTCTAGTCGGTCAATCATCATCAACGCAAAACCTGGTATAAGTGTGTGTTAGCTCAAATGACCATACTATGACCAGTGATACTCTCTAGTACAGAAATAGAAGTAAATAGATTAGCCTTAAGATGTAGGTCCATTGAAATAATCTTGTTAGTTATTTCAATAAAATAGCATTTAAAAAATACCAACGGTATTGAATCATTGTTCATCACAGAGTACTAAAAAGCCTTGACGTCTTATAGAGAAAACGTGTGATAGTTGTCGTAATTATTTTAATTATACATTTATTTTTCTAATAATTAATGGAGGGTTTGAATTGAACCTGAATGTATTTGTTCGCCGGTAACGAGAGAAATCTTCACATGATTTGCAGTCTTTTCTAGCCACTATGTATGCTACTAATTAATAATACTGGCTGAGGAGCTGTATCGTCGAATGTTACACAAGTATGCTTACAAATCGTGTTTTTTATATGGACAGATTGATCCCGACATAAACATGGACGTTTGGTAACTTTCTCTGGTTAAGTTGCTTGCATCCAATTCACAATGTAATTATAAGATACTATGTAGTTTGTCTAGTTTCCTCAGTAATATCAAATTTTACACAGCTTTGTGTTTATTGTTTCCCGGATTAATAGATTTTATCACTTAAAATACTCTCTAGTGTTAAATCTTAAATCGCTTTAATCAACTAAGCCTCAGGGTTCACTCACTAACCAATCTAGTTTGATAGGTTTCCTTTTTTTTGTACAAACCCCCTACTGACCTACTGTTTTCATTATCATATTACGCAAATGTTTGAATAAAATGTTTATTGCTTGCGAATCAGCCATATTCCAGTTAGTGATTTCAAGATCGTGTCACTTACTTGAAATGTCAATGTTAGTAATAGTTAGTTTCCCAATATCGAATTTCACCCCTTACGAGTCGTTGGATTGTTTAGAAATACCATTATACGCGATTGTAAACAATGTATAACTACGAGGGAAATTAACGACTCATGGGTTAAACTAGTTTTGAGGTGCAGTATGTATTGACTGGAGGAGTTAGTGCGAATGGATACTTTCTTTGCTCGTTCAAGCCTAACATAAATGTAGATAATGAAAGGATTGAAGTGAAAAATAAAACTGACTTGGTACTTGGTTATGAGCCGAAGTAGATGGGGCGGAGTTAAAACCTGGGACTTAGTCCTAAAAGGTCGAATGCCTTCATCATTAAGTTATGCAACTAGTTATTTCATAGATTATAAGAATACCAGTCACTAATGTAGCTGTTCTTACAGATGTTATCCATATGTCAACAGCTTAGTGGTAGCAATATTTTAAAGATATATACTTCTAAGTAATAGTAATTTTCAACTTACCCCTTTGATGTATCGGTCGGATTGTTGTACAAAGACCAAAGTCAATAAAAGGTATGGATACCAATGTAAAATGAGTAAATGGTCATTTCCTTTATTTAACTATTTAGTTTCCAAGTTATAGAACATAATTCTAGAAAACCTTCACTTTCACTATTCCCATTTATACGACTGGTTGAAGAGCGTATAGGTGTTTTCAAAGATACAGTCATAATCATCGGGTCATTGCTCACAAGCATCGTTTCGTTGACTTTTCAACTTGTTTCCATACTAAGTGTTGTGCTCAAGATTAAATAAGTAACTATCATCGTCCTTACAATAATCTTAAAAGTAAAATTATCTTTAGTTTTTGGATTCTATGTACTGTGATTTTCAGATGCATGAACCTATTGCAAGTCTATTTAGGTTTATTGATTGTATGGAAAATATGTTTACAATCTAGTTTTTCTTTATTTTCTGTAATAAATTATTCATTTACATCAGCTGCAGTCGGAATCACCAATAACTGGGTGGCAATTCTCAAGGTCTCTTTTCTAGTCACTCAGTAACGGTGGTAAATTATAGTTACAGGAAATTTTTTCAGTGCATTTAACTAACTAAATATTACAGCCAATTGTTACTGGTTTCTGATATTTAAAATTAGTCAATTGAGATAATATACATTGTAGGTTTTCTCTCGTCGTTGTTTTCGAAAAGTCCATAAACCAAATAGACTGGATCTTATCAACAAATCACTTTCCAGTAAATTGACTAATCTTCGAAGTTTTTCATGATTTTTATTGCTCACCTTGTTTTTATGTGTTAAGTAACGTTGACATTTTTCAAAATGCTGTTTAGTCTTCAAACCGTCCTTTAAATGTTCATGGATATGGAGATAATCATACAAATAATCGAGATTCTGTTTCTTCAAGATCTAGTTGGGCTCGTAGCATATTTGACCGTTTACGAGCTTCATCATTAACATCATCTACTAATGAGTCGAAAGCAAATCATAATTCTAATGGTCAAAATGAATTTTTATTTCGATTCAAAGAGCACAATAGTAACCATAGTCATAGTGTAAATATATCATCTGATGTAATTGATCCCAGGCGTTTACCAAAAGCTCATGGACCTGCAAGTAATTGTTTGGAATTTTCTAAACGACCTTTGCAAAAGTCCAATAACCATTTACATTCGAAATCGATTCCAGTATCTTCAACACATGCTGATTTGATGTCTCCTGGTCTATCGAATTCGTTACAATCTTCTATCACCAATAATAATCATAATAAACACAGAAAACGTATTCGCTGGGTATGTTTCAAGTTATGCTTACAAAAATAACTGAAAATTAAAAAATATAAAATTTTTGCTTATATACTGAATTCGTTTTTTGGGACAAGATGTTGTTTGTGATTAAAACTAGATTTTATGTTGATTGTCCAATTATTCCAATTTTGAGTGAATAACTGTAGTGTACTTAGCAGCAATATTAATAGTAATAAGAGATTTGTTTGATATCATAAATTTCGTTACCTTAAGGAGTTTCAATGTAATTTACTTCCGTTTCATCAAAGGGTAAACAACAAAGAAAGTATATCAACAACCAGTGTTTTCGTTTGAATTTTACAGTAGTGAGCATTGTAATAAGTTGTAATAGGCATATTAAAAATGCATTCGAGTGCATACAGTAAGGGTTCATAAACCATTATTCATTCAAAAATAAATACAAAATAGGAGGGTTTATTGCAACATTTGAACAGTTAAAAACAGAAGTGATACATAGGTTTAGGCAGGAATTCAACTATAGAAAAATCAAAACCAAATGAAAATGATATTTCCAATTATAATTGAAGAAGAGAAAAGACTAAACAGAACAATTGTAATTTCAGCAGAAGAATCATTAAGTGTTTACAACTGAGAAAATTATGTTGACTGAATGAGTTTTTACTACTGAAATTAATTTCATATTATATCGTGTAAAGTTTGTAATTACAGGATCCTACAATTTTTTTGTTTGGGCTGATAATTGTCATGGTTTAATGATAGCGAATGACCAGGTTTGAGATTTATTTATTTATTTTAACACATATATATTGGTATAAAGAGGCACCAAATACATATGCGCCACACAAATCTTATTTGGTATGTGTGAGGGCTGTGATACTGCCCTGGTGCCCAAACCGAAGCAGGTGGTTTTCTTAGGGGGCCACACCCTGAGCCTTCGGCTTGAAGGTCTGATCCACAAGGCAGTGGAGCAACGTAAGACGATGCATTCCCATGGTAGCCGGTGACCAACAATTGGTTCATACGCCATTTGTTCCTTCAGGATACTGGAGCCCATGTGGACCACTGGTTTGAAATCAGAGTTTTCCAACTCTCCTAGGTGGACTCGCCATGTCCACCAACCCGGTTAAAGCGCCGGACATTCGCTTTTCGTTCTCTTAATTTCGTAAACGATACCACGAGAAAGCAATGAGTAGGACTTCCCTGGCAGAGGCTATACACGCGTGGCCATGTGAGAGTATTTCGAGATGGAGAGTGGGCTCTCCCCACTCTCGGCCGTACCAGGGCATTTGGGAGCGGGTTTTGGATTGTTAAACGAGTGAAGAATATTGGAACTGTACGTCATTCACTTCCAAATGTAATTAACTTTTAATTATCATGGTTTAATTCTTGTCCCGACTTATAAGTAGTATAATTATTTTTTGTGCCAAACTCTGAATATATTTTAACGTACATTCTAACTACCTTTGTTTTTGAAGTCTTATGACTATTAACATCAATTCGACAACTTTAACGTAGTAGATTAGAGGAAAAACTAATTACCTGTCAAATATTTCAACGTTTTGTATCTTATTCGAATTTTGTTGCCTATTATTAATCACTATTAGCTTAAGTGTCTATTTGTGTCTCATGATTTCAAATTTGTTTAAATTTGTTAGACTGAAGTGGATAAAGCGTTTGTTTGTTTTAAAACCTTTTATATTTAACGTATTTTTTCTATATGCAGTTCAGTCATTCAACTTCATGTGATACTGGACCTGGCGATCCAACTTTAGGTTAGTTTAAACATATTTACAACTTTATGTTATGTTGTATTATTAAACTGAATTCATATCATTTGTCAGCTTAAAGGTCTGTTTTACTAGAGAATTAACTGGAGAAACATTTACCTAACTGTTAAATTAGACGATGTAGAAGCTGAAAAACAATAAGATGAGCACTTAAAGCTATCATCATTATGCTGGAACATTGGTGCTCTTTTCCTACTATTGCATGAATGTGGGAAATGGCTGTTGTTTTCGACCATTGAGGTATCATTTTAGGTTCACCAACCTCTCTACTGCTACACTGTTCAAGTTCCCCGAGGATTCTTCCCGAATATAAGTTGTCCTCAGGTGAGCACTGGCTGCAAACAAGTGTGAGACAATGAACTGGTCATCTGTCATAGATGTCAGTCTTAACCGTTGACATTCTCGTTTCACAATTCCTGTGTATTTTACCCAGTCATCTGGTTCTCTCTTTTAACACTGATAGTGGATATTAAGCAAAGATAACTGTTCAGAGATTTGTGAATGAATTTTAGTGGTTCCATCAAATATAAAGTCTTGTATAATCTTTGTAAGAAGTAGGCTGCTGTACCGTTCACATTGTCATACTGAGTTTTCGTAAAACCACTCGAACTCTTGTAGCACCACTCAATTTGAAAATGTCATTATAGAATAGATCTCCGTACTGCTTAAAGCATGTGAACCACAAGTAGAATCAGCTGAAGCTTTAAAATTAAACTCAAAGATAATGTTAATTACTAAGTGTTTGTGAATTACTTGCAGCGCTATGGATACTGGGTTTTGCTAACGAACACACATTTCTTTCATAAGAACTCCCATTATGAGCTAGTTTGTTGAAGATTATGATGATGTTAATGAATAAGTAACTTTTCAATATGGAAGATAAGCTTGTATTTCAAATTTGGTTTTAAAATTTCTTCCGGTTAAATTATAAATTTTAACTTCAGGTTAGTTAAATCCACTGGATGTATATCTCTAATTGGGTTATAAATAAATATAAATGTTTTTTAACGTGTTTAGGTCAGTTTCAAATGTTCCGGGTTATTGTTACATTGATTTTAATTTTAGAATAATGATTATAATTATTATCATTAATAATATTCACTTACCTTTTTTATGAACCAAATTACTATGCAGTTGGAAATTTGTTGACACAGCTTGTTATTTCTGACCTCTTCTCCTACATGTTGCTTAAACTTATTTTCCCATTGAACCATGTTATCTGTCTTTACTCCAAGATCATGTAGGAAACTTATAAGTACCGATATATGTCTGTGTATTCTTGAATCGTTCTTCTTATTTGTGTGTTTGTAGTCTAAGTTGAGCCATGCGAATTTCATATCTGACTTTTGTCAATTACGTAGTTGTTGTATGGACAAAGTTATTGAAGAATGTAAGACAGAGAAATCTGTACATTTAGTTTAACTTACTCAAGAATTCACTTATTTTTGTGCATATCTTAATTTTACACAAATTGATTACTCATCGTCAGTGTGTAGAGGATTTAAAACTGTTCGTATCACCGAAACTATGACCAAAAAAGTAAGACTTGTTGACCTATTATTTGGACACACGTGTCCTACTTAGCTTTGGATAATGTTTTAATAACATAAGATAACAGGGTATTTCACCAGGCCTGTTCAGAAAGCACTATAGTTATGTTGATAATAGAATGGTAAAGGGTATTGATTGAGAAAAAACAAACAATGATTAGCCATACGATACGTATAATTGCCCTGTGAGGGCTTAACTACAAGAGTCGCTATCTTAGTCCACTGAACCTAGTGTAACCTATTAACCTATGCATATATGTATATAGATGTTGACGTCTCTATGTTCCAGTCGATCACCAGGACAAAGAAAAATGGTGAGAGTAAGCAAATTTGCCTGACACCGGTCCTTACTTCGAACGAGTCTGTCAACTGTCCTCCATGCACTATTTTGCGGTATGATACTATCTTTTCAGGCACGCCGTAGTGTCGAAGAAGCCTCCATAATGTCGTCCTGTCCGCGCTATCAAGTGCTTTCTCGTAGTCAATGAAAGTGATTGTAGAGTGATAAATTCCATTCAATTGATTGTTCTACAGGAAATAATAAATAATCGTTCTTCTTTATCAGGATAAAATGTCAACTGAATGAATTACCCCTAGAGAATTTTATAAGAAAACTACAAAATGGCACTTTTTTTCTTCACATTGTTACAAGTTTTAAATCAGCAAATCTACTACATATAGAGTTACTGTCACATGATAATTTTCTGATCGCAATTTGTGCATATGCTCATATGCTCATATGATCACCTGTTTAATTAACTCCCAAAAACATCACTAAGTAAAACGATAGCAACATTATCATATTTTGTTTTATGCGTTTTTGTATTATTTATTGCGAAATATGATTAGTGATTGGCTACTTTTCTTAATCATCACTTTTTGTGTGTTAATATAGTTTGTGATTGAAGTTACATTGTTTTGTTTATTACTTCATTTATACTTTTACAGTAAATGTAAATCTTTTCTTCTATTTTGCTAAAAAATAAGATCAGTACTGATTCTTGAAAATAGTAACGTATTTGAATTAGATTCAGGTCGCGACAACAAAAATTGCTTTTTTTTAGATGGTGGTTGGAGGTAGTCAACAGGAAACCCTGGACCCGGGTTTCGTGCTATTTGGCACTCTTCAGCAAGGTGTACCTGTAATCTTGAGGGAACTGGTGCTCCCTGGCGGATTCAATCTCGTGTCACCCAGCTTCACAGTCAGAGACGTTACCACTGAGAAACCCGGGTCCAGGGTTTCCTGTTGACTACCTCTAACCACCATCTAAATCTCAATACATAGTGCCCGCAGTGTCGAGTCACCTAGACTGGTGGCCACATTGCAACATGATCGATAGCATTCGATCTGCACTAATAAGGACTAGATAAACAAGACATTGATCACCACCCAGTGATCAATCAATTGTAAAAATTGCTTTTATTTCATGAACTATTACGTAGATTAATTGATAGTTTTACTGATGTGAATTTTTATGTAAATTATTTTGTATTGACAGCTGTGTTTAAGTACTCAGTTATTTCTATCTGAAAGGAGTCTACTTTTCAACAGGAAAAGTTTGACATTAACTCATCACTAATCAACAAGTTATCACAAAATCTAATTTCAGGGTTTCCTATCGATTACCACCAACAACCTAACAGCAAGGTTTTTAAGTAATAGATAAAGTGATATATATTTTTAAGGGTTTTTTTTCGTTGTTTTTAATCTTCTCATGAATATGCTTAATGTATAATTTTTATGCACTTATATAAATTCCTTATCTGATAATATGATAACAGGATTTAGGTTTGTAAGTTGTCTATATTTATACCAACTATTAATCCATTAAATTACTTTCATAGTTGAAGTAACGATTCGATCTAAGCTAGACCATCATTGAGAACCTGAAAACACCGGACGGCCGTTTCGTCCTTGTATGCAACTCCCCAGGAGTGCTCATCAAATTATTAATTCAAATAATAACAACGAAGCTATACAGAGCCGTCGAATCAAACAGGTTCAAAGTGCACATTTCTAGATTTTAAACCTAGATTCACAAATGATTTGTCAACTATCAGTTAATTAATGGGTAATTTTTGAAAGAATACAATACTTTCGACTATAAAGTGAGCGAATTTATCGTATAGGTACGAAGACACATAATGATGTTGCTTTTATCAGTAATGTAAGTCAATTATAACAAATTCGTCTAAAGAACCCTTACAAAACCCAACGGTCAAAACAAATTTTCAGTTATATGAAGGAGACTTAAATGAAATTGAGAACTGTGTGAGATTAGTTTGATGGAAACCACAATGTGGTCCTCCAAAGTGTTGATAGCAATCCATAGCGTCACTCACTATCAGTCAGATTTTTATCATAAACAACATCAATATCTCTTTTTATATTGCTAAGTAATCGAGTAACTTGACCATCGGATTTATTAAATGATTTATTTAAACACATAAACATTGGTACAACTATGATCGAACACTGAATTCCCAAACTTCCTCAGCTCGGGTAGCCTAGGTTTCATAAACACAAAGCAGAAATACTCTCAATAAAGTGTCGAGAACTTGATATTTTACAGACAGACTAATATAACGACAACGGCGAAGGTAGAGGGCGCATTGGTTTAAGTTTCTGTGGCTTTCTTTATTCATAGACTGGTTTATTCTCTCATGCTAACACCACCCAGGTACGAAAAGTTCTTGTTTACTTTTACCATCACAAGTAATGTGACAGTTGCTACTGAAAATGTTACGAGTATTATTAATCTTTTTGCTAAATGTCATATACTTTATTATACTGGAAAATTGTCGGCGAAAATATGATGAATTGAAAAAAAAAACCTTTTTAGGCACATAACTTGTGAATATTAAAAAAATGCAAACATTCTTTTAAAACAGTGATTATCTGCAATTTATATTTATATGCTAATGCTTACGACCAGTCCATCTTCCGTGATATCTCATGTATCAATTCCATATTAGTCAATTTTCATCTCTTTAATAGTCATATAGTAAAACATATGTGTATGAAACCACTGTTATGGTACTTCTTAGTATTCTCGGTTATCAGATTCACGATAGATTATAAACATTATTTGAAAGCATGTAAATACACGTGGTTAGCAAATAATCGTTCAATTTAAGTCAGGATAATTAATTGCAATAAATGATTGTTGAGCAAAGAAAACTGGTGGTCAAGTTGGTTCAACTGGTCACCGGCATTCATAATTTAATTGTTTTGAACTGTTTTAAATGCAATAATTAAATTTCCCCCCCCCTTATCTGATCTCTTTATTTTAAGGTTCAGCAAATTATCATTCACAATTAAGTTCATCAGTTGTAGAAGAAATTCAAGGTGCAGTCAATATTTTAGCTGGTTAGTTTATTATTATTATTATTGTGCAATGTCTTTATTAATTAATTATTACTGGTTGGTTAATGATTTTTATTGTTGCATAATCGTTATCGATAACAACGAAATTAATCTTAATTAACCATTATTATAATTTATTTACATGTGATTTCAATTAGGAAGTTTATACAAGATTATTTCATGTGTTTTCTTGTTGTTGTTGAACATAGCAATTGTGTATTGCAAGTTTTCAAAAGTCTTTTTTATTTTAATATCAGGTGAAATAAATAAATAATTATGAGATGGGGAGAGAGAGAGAGAAATATCATTTTTACCGAAACGGAATTAGGTATCTTAATTGTCATATGCGTTATATATATATTCTATAAGTATTAATATCTTATGTCACTAGTATTAGTGGTAGGTAATAATGTCAGTGATTACTATGGATTATATCAAAATACAATGTTACGCAGATTATTTTAATAATTATTTTTTTCTTCAAAAAAAACTCCCACATAACATGAACACTTGTACATTTGACTTTGTGTAAAAAGTGTGCAACGTTAAACATTAGATTTTCCAAATTTTCATTCATTTAAACACAAATATTGGTACAAAGGAGCACTGAATGCGTATGCACCACACAAATTATCTGATTTGTGTGCGGGCTGTGATGCTGTCCGGGCGCCAAAACCGAAGCAGGTGGTTTTCTTAGGGTGCCTGCGATCTGAAAGGCTGATCCACAAGGCAGTGCGGCAACGTCAGGAGACGCATTCCCATGGTAGCCGGTGACCAACGATTGGCTTATACTCCATCTTTTTCTTCAGGATACTGGAGCCCATTTGCACCATTGGTTTGTAATCGTGGTTTTCCAACTCCCCTAGATGGATCTGCCATATCCCCGAACCCGGTTAAAGCACCGGACATTCACTTTCCGTCTTCTCAATTTTGTAAACAACAATAATGCTGCAAGAAGGCAGTGAGTATGACTTCCTTGACCGTGGCTGTAGACGCGTAGCCATGTGAGAGCATTTCAAGATGAAAAGTTGATTCTCCTTGTTCTCGACCGTACCTGGGCATTTGGAGGCTTATTTATTGATATGCTTGTACACTAAGCTAACATTTCACAGCTTAAAATTTAATACGATCAGTGAATGAAGCTTAGTTTCTTAATGAAAGCCCTGTTATTAATTTCTATAGTACAATTGAAAATACATTGATATTAATCGGTTATTACATCCGTTACAGTAATTAGAATGTATGAGTTGAGTCATTTTCTTTAAACACAGTCATAATCAGAATGCATTGAGAATTCATGAAGTTATATCACGAAAATTTATTGAAAGTTGACCTTACATTTTCACCTTAAATTCTTCTTAAATAAACATTAATTTCCTTTCTCTAACGTCTAAAAGGTTTCATATGAAACAATGAAAATCCTATTCAGTTAGTGGTGGTTGATTTCAGTTCACTATTCAGTTGATGTACAACTGCAATTAAAAATACTTTCTTTTTATTTTTCTAATCAACATTCACAAACTACCTAGTCTCATTGTTATTGTTTATTGTAACCTTTACTGTGGATTGAATGTATGGACTTTCATTTATTTTTCAACATGTGTTCGAATAGATATGTTTCCTATAGGTTTTTAAATATACTTTATTGGCTATCAGCAACTAGGAAGAAAATCCGAGTTTAAGATTTCCTGTTGATTACCTTTAGCCACTTAACAACCAAACAAAATATCGAAATCACTGAGTTTGATTACATTCAGCTGAATTTCAGCGTTCACACTAGTATCAAATGTTTGCTTTGTTTATTTCTTCAGTGTGATAATTATATCACATACAAATCATTATTTAAATAATATATAGGAGTAAAATAAAGTATGTTCAAATGTTTATACCGAAATATATGTGCAGTAAGATTGGCTAACACATCAGTTTGAGTTGAATTAACATCTTTTTAAAGAATATAACGAGTTGTTTTGATTCTCTTAGTTTAATAGTTGAATTCATGAGTCAGTTGAAACCAGACCACCATGGAAAACCTGCAAGCACCATTGTCTTCAGTGAGTTGCTATCTCACAACAGACCTGGTTGAACTCCACTGGTCACGGCTTCTCACTAGAACTCCAGGAAATACTTCTTGGAGATCGTCACTAGTGAGCATATGATGATTATAATCAGAAAGGGGTTTTATGGATATTATAATAATTGAATAGTTCATGAGTCAATTAGAGCTAGACCAGCATGGAAAACCTGGAAGCACTGGATGGCCGTTTAATACTAGTATGAAACTCCTCAGCAATCCATTTAAACAATTATGATGAAACAAGTCTATATACTGTTTTCAAAGTCTTTATTTTTTATTCGTGTTTAAAAATAAAAAAATCTTATTTGGATAGAAGTTCATAGCTAATAAATCTATCATAAAACCCAAGATTTCAAATTAATATTTATATTACTAACGAATAAAGTAATATCGTATTGAATAGAAGTATTAAGCATGTGCAATACTTCTTTCTTTGATTATTTCCACCCAAATTATTTGGTCATGATATTTAAATATTGATATTTTCTCTTTGTGAAGATATTAGACTACTAGATTGCTTGTTCTCCCAATATTTTTTTCTCAATTGTTTTTTGTTAAGGTCGTCAGATATTTCCTAGTAGCATCGCTTGTTCTCGTCCAGGAATCCGTGTGAAAAGCGCCTCTGAATCAGAGCATTTACTAGTTATTAGTAAATCTCTGTCCAATGTGAGTTATTTTCTATAAGCCTCATTATTATTATCATTATTACCATACTAGTAGTGGTAGAAGTATGATTACATGTAACTTGTTGACTTAGAGAAGGAGAATACGGGGATATTGCAAGTGACATATATCAAAGCCTCTATATACAAACAGTAGATCACTTAATCAGATATTCATAGGCTGTTTTTGTCACAGCCACTGAAAACCTTGGATGATTGCCGAGCCATTTCGTCCCGGTATGGAACTTATCCTCTACAATCATATCATGATCGAACCTAAGACCTTTCGGTCTCGCGTCAAACTGCTGATCATCGGAACCATTAGGTCCACCTCCAGTGGTGCGATTGTTTGCCAGGAGATCTGAAGGCCTTAAGTCTGATATATGTCGATATATGCCTTTGATTAATGTAATGAGAAAAGGATGTTTATCAAATCTGTTTGATACATTTATACCATATAACATTTTAAACAATTTGCTCACATATTAATTTGTTGACAGTTTACTTTGGAAACAAAAAGTTACAACCACACGAGGTATAAATTGCAATTACGCAATAAGAGTTAATTATAAAATCTACCTATATGTTACTAAACATTTAACTTGACTGATAAATCTCAGGATTAATCAAAGTTCAGCTTTTGTAATGTGTTATGTAGAAGTGGTTTAGGATAAGCAAGGCTTTTTGAAGCCTAGGCCGTACGAAGATTCAAATACCTTTTTGTATATATGTGCTCAGAAACCAATTATTATTTGCATTAGAACTACCCACGTGATATTGATTTTCTATGAAACGTTTTACGTCTCCTACAGATATCTTGGCAAATTATCCAGGTTATTTAAAATGTTGTAATATGTCACATCTCGTAGTAACTTCGTCTACCCATTGCACTATCGAAATTAATCAAAGGAATTAATGATTTTAACTATGACATATATATTTCACTTTTTAAAAATATAAATACATTACCCAGTTGAGTAGTTAGTAAATCACCATTCCCCTTATTTTAAAGTGTAACAGGTTAGTAATGTGTTTAGCAGTAATTGACTATAAATGACCTCGATTTCTCGAACCTTGATATTCTTATGTTCTCGTAACATGATGAACTGATAAAGTTAAAAGCTTTAATTTATCATATGTATATAGATAAAAATCAAAGAACTATTCATTTAGATCTTAAGAAGCTTTTGTCAATAAGTAGCCATTCAGAATAGTAAAGAACATTACTAATAATAGATTGAGGTTTATTTAGGAAATTTTATCAAAGACTAACTGGAAAGCATTGTTCATGATTGTGGTGATCCGTTGATGAATTGATAAGTAGCTGCTGAAACTGTTTAGTAATTTGTTTGCATTTGATTATCTGAAGTAGGATAGACAAGGCAGCAGGAAATAACTGAATTCAATTAGTCAAGTAAGCCGATGAATTGATTTTCTTTTCCATAATACTGGTTTTTCTATAATAATTAAGTTTTAAACGAATGATTTTTATCCTATTAAATATAGTCAAAAGAGGAACTATCCCCTTCATCCTTTGGCCATTTTGGTGAGTTTTATAAATTCGTATTTCACTTGATTATTATGCGAAACATAATATCGTAAACCTGCTTCGGTTTGGGTACCTGAGCAGTATCCCAGTCCTCACATAAATCAAATAATTTATGTGGCGCATATCAGTTTGGTGCCTCGTTGTTCCGTTGTGCATGTGTTTAAATGAATAGGTCTACTGGAAGCTTACACTAATGGGAATACAGAAATGCAACGATACAGTTTGTTTACTAAGTACACAAAAATGAGAATAACAAAATTTGAAAATAAGCTTTGAAATTTACAACTTTCTCAATATACGTCCCGTTATAACAAATAGTTTTTACTAAAATGATGTGACACAAAAGTTATCTTGTAAAATTAATATAATATAAAACACAAATGTTTTTGAAATATGCGTTCTAAAGATCATTAACTTATGAAGTTGAAACTCAACTATGGGGTTGGACGAAAGCTAAGGGTACTAAGAAGAAGATGTGATGTTGTTGTGAAAGAGAAGACAGGTGGGGACGACCAAATTATTTCTAAACACAAAATTACAGAGTTCTTTGATAATTTATGAAAATCATACATAAAAATACTTCATTTGCAAATTTCCATCATTTGTACTTCACATTATGTATGATTCCTCCAATTCACAGTTGCTTTCTATTTTCTTTTCTCTTCTCTTCTTATCCATCTGCTACCGGGTTTTTCCTTTTCCGATTGGTTTACATACTACTTAAGTGTGTCGACATAAGTAGCATAACTTACTTCCTTACGCCTGTTACTCCCCGTGAAGGAGCATAGGCCGCTCACCAGCATTCTCCATCCTACCTTGTCCTGGGCAGTCCTTTCCAGCTCCTTCCAGTTGTTATTCATCCTTTTCATATCTGCTTCTATTAACCGACGTAATGTGTTCTTTGGCCTTCCTCTTTTTTGCTTCCCTTCAGGACTCCGAGTTAGGGCTTGTCTCGTGATGCAGTTTGACGATTTGCGTAGTGTATGTCCTGTCCATTTCCATCGTCTTTTCTTAATTTCCACTTCAACTGGAAGCTGGTGTGTTCTCTCACAAAAGGCTGTTGCTGATTGGTATCCGACCAATGGATGTTGAGTATCCTGCGTAGACAGCTATTTATAAATACTTGTACCTTCTTGATGATGGTTGTTGTGGTTCTCCAAGTTTCAGCTCCGTACAGTAGAACTGCCTTGACATTCATATTGAAGATTCTGACTTTGATATTGGTTGACAGTTGTTTTGAGTTCTATATGTTCTTCAATTGAAGGAATGCTGCCCTTGCTTTGCCAATCCTCGCCTTTACGTCTGCATCTGAACCTCCTTGTTCATCGATTATGCTTCCCAGGTATGTGAAGGATTCTACATCTCTCAAAGTCTCTCCATCAAGAGTGATTGGATTGCTATTTTCCGTTTTGAATTTGAGATCCTTGGTTTTCCCCTTGTGCATGTCGAGGCCTACTGATGCAGAGACTGCTGCTACACTAGCTGTCTTTATCCGCATTTGTTCGTGTGTATGTGATAGGAGGGCTGTGCCATCTGCGAAGTCCAAATCTTTTTGAATAGAAGGTAAAGCATGTTTGTAGTTACTTCGATGTCTGACTTCAGTGCTTCAGCTGGTATGTTGTCCGGACCCGCTGCTTTCCCGTCCTTGATTTGTCTGACGGCCATTCTGATTTCTTCCGTTGTTGGTGGGTTGACGTCTATGGGAAGATCCGTGTGTGCTGCTTCGATGTCCGGTGGATTCATTGGAGCCGGCCTATTCAGGAGTTCCTCGAAGTATTCTACCCATCTGTTACGCTGTTGTTGAATTTCAGTGATTGACTTGCCTTCTTTGTCTTTGACCGGTCTCTCTGGTTTACTATATTTCCCTGCTAGTTTCTTCGTCGTATCGTAAAGCTGTTTCATATTTCCTTCTCTAGCAGCTTTTTCTGCCGTCGTTGCTAGTTCTTCCACGTATTTCTTCTTGTCGGCTCTCATGCTCCTCTTCACTTGCTTGTTTGCTTCTATGTATTTAGCTTGTGCTTGGACTTTCTCTGCTCGTGTTCGGTTGTTGTTAATTGCTGTCTTCTTGTTTTTCCTTTCTTTGATCTTGTCCAGAGTTTCTATAGAGATTCACTCCTTATGATGGTGTATCTTTAGGCCCAGAACCTCCTGAAATGTTGAAGTTAATGCTTCTTTGGTACCTTTCCAGTTTTCTTCCATAGCAGTTTCTTCCTTTAGTAGATCCTGTAAGGCTTGGAACCTGTTGTTGAGAGCTATCTTGAATTCATTGAGTCTGTCAGTATCTCGAAGGAAGGCTGTGTTGAACCATTGTCCAGTTGTCCAGTTCCTTTTTGGCTTCGGTTTTAACTTGGCTACAACTAGGTGGTGATCTGAAGCTATGTCAGCACCTCTCCTGGTTCTCAAATCTTCCATTGTCCTTCTGAATTTTTGTTGATGCAAAAATGCTCTATCTGGTTCTCAGTGGTGTGGTCCGGTGAGATCCATGTAGCTTTGTGTATGCGTTTGTGTGAAAATATTGTGCCCCCTATGACCAATTTGTTGAATGTACACAGATTTGCAAATCTTTCCTCGTTTTCGTTTCTCTGTCGCAGTCCATGTCGTCCCATGATATCTTCATATCCGGTGTTGTCTATTCCGACTTAGGCATTTAGATTTCCCATTAGAATGGTGAGGTCCTTTCTTGGACACTTCTCTATGATTGATTGCATCCGCTCATAGAATTGGTCTTTAATGTCGTCATTGCTATCATTGTTGGGTGCATAACATTGGATAATATTCATTGTGATCCCCTCCTTCTTTGTTTTGAATGATGCTTTGATGATTCTGGATCCGTGAGATTCCCGTCCTACAAGTGCATTTCGTGCTACTTTGGATAGGATTAGAGCAACTCCCTGAGTGTGTGGAGCATTTTCCTCTTCGTGACCGGAGTATAGCAGCATCTCTCGTGTATTTAGCCTTTGTTGTCCAGCTTGGGGGGTCTAATGGGTTTCGCTGATTCCCAGTACTGCCAAGTTGTATCTCCTCATTTCCGTTGCTATTTGACTGGTCTACCCGGTCTCCCACATTGTTCGGACGTTCCGTGTACCTATAAAAATTGTTGCTCTGGTTGTTAGAAGGGGCATCGGCCTCGTGGCTTCCGAAGGAACTTGGCCTTCAACATGAGGTGGGTCCAACAAATTTGTGCAAATCTCCACGTTGATAATGTCTGGTTACCCTATTAACTTAATTATCGCCCACCATCTCAATTTCGCTTTATTTTACCATTGTCTATTTATATTCAGTTTTCTTAATCAACTTTTGTTTGTATGTCAGATTTCGTTTGTGAGTGTATCATTTGAAAATATTGTCTTATCTTATTTCATTCTAGTTTAAATATGTTTTTTGGATCACCCATTTTATCTACTATGTTATTTGGAAAGCTATAACACTTTTCGACAACTTCCGTATGGTTTAACACCACATCTACACTGTCACATTAAACGTGTGACTATATGTAAAAATTTTCTGTCTGTATGTAAATATAAAAACTTGTTATTAGTTTCAAAGTACATTGCGAAAATGCATGTTGATATGTTGATTTTGCATTGTAGTATATATGATATCGTTTGTAAAAAATGTTTTATTTTTAGATGAAAACCACGTTTATACCACGTTATTTCGTCATAGTACATGCTACGATGTTTTACCGGGGAGTGGAAAGTTAGTTATTTTAGACTCTCGTTTACCTGTAAGTTATTTACTGTATATACTTTTTTTTAAAATAACAATACACGGATAGTCATTTTTGTATGAGTATTTGTGGGTTTATATACTTGTGTTTACATAATTTGTAAAACTCATTTCCTAATCATTTATTTGTGTATACACAGTAAAGATAGGAACTTCCAATGTAGTTTTCCATATACATGGATGTATCAGTAACTTTCAACAATTAGCTCGAAGATTCTCACTTTATTTACTGAATTTAAGTTCAAACAGCTGTGTACTATCACAAAATGCCTAACTTAAAATAGTATACATAATCCTGTAGTTGGTGATGAAATAAAATTCCTATGGAAAATGATCCAATTGTAGATTACTATAATCTATGAAAGTGTTTTTGTAGCATACCTTTTCACAGAGATGGATGCATTACAACAGTTATTCTTTTTCGATATCTTTGAGACGTTGACTTTTCCTCACATTTTGAACTTTAGAAACCGATTTTATGTATCTTTGAAATTTATTCAGGCATCTATCATCTATTTATATTTCTCATACCAAAACTCGCTTTCTTTGAATAATAATTTGTGAATATATCACCGACGTATTCCTCGTTCGTCCCGTTTCAGTATTTAAACTGAATGATGTTTGACTTTAGACGTATTTGTCCACCTAAAAATGGCATCCAACTTTGCAGAATTCAAGATCTTAGGTCCATCAAGGTAGCGACAATCAATTTGGGCTGTTTTAAGAGGAGCATAGTTTATGATACTGTGCAATCGGAATAATGGTAGTAATTTGTGAAGACCTTCAGATGATAAGACTGGAAATCAATCACTGTGATTCAAAAATCATTCTACTAGGCTTCTTACATGCTAATATTCCCAATTTTATGCTTTCAATGAAAATTTATCCAATATTTCATTTTTAACCATTATTTGTGTTATTATTTCCTGTTTTTTGCTTTCCATATATATTGATCCTCATCTCTTTAAGTTGATGTAACGTGTAACGATTCGAATGGTATTACACAAGTGCTAGGTTCTAAGTGTTTCGTATATAGTTTCTTTGCTTTTCTGTGTTCTTACACAAAGTGATCTAAAATTATGTTCTATTTTTTTAAATATTGTTTATTGTATTTTATTATTCTTACTACTATTAGTTCACCTGTCTTCCTACTACAAACTTGTACTTTTACCTATTATGTGTAGAGACTTATTCTATTTCATTGTGATTATTGACTCATATTGCCTTGATTGGTTTACATTTTCGTATAAATATTCATGTATATTAGAGTAAAGCCTGATGACGATCTAATTGAAAACAATATTGTTCGCTTATATGTGTTGTTCTAATAATTAAAATGTTTATTATCAACTATTCAATTACTAGACGTTACGTGCAATATGTGCTCTATTGGATAATGGAGTTATGGCGGCACCAGTTTGGTGCAGTGAAACTCAATCATATATGGGTATTTTTTCTCAAGAATTAGCTTTAGATATGATTGGACATTTACATTATATAGAAGTGATTAAAAGTGGTAATTCAGATATTCAAACATTGTCGTCTTCAAGTGTTGCTGACACATCAACCACAACAAATTCCTCATCGTCTGGATTCTTCTTTTCTTCGTTCAATGCAAATCTTTACGGATGGGGTGCAAAACAATTAGGGGAGGTTTATAGTGAGTTTTTCACGTCGAATCGAACATATTTATAATCTAAAACATCGTCATACATACATCACTGATTTATCAAACTAACATTTAACTAAAAGTTTATTTACAGAACAATTTTTAGGTTTAATCACGTTTACTCTGATCGGTTCTATTGATTCACAACTTTCAAAAGCTGTAAAGTTGGATCATAGCTAGCAGTGCAATCCAAGACTCTATTTTCAACCCATTTGTTGGGACTCGTTAGCTGGATCTTTTCGTTCATTTCGAACTGCAATTGATCAGTCTGTATTGGTGCATTTCCATTCTGAGTGGATATCCTTGATATTACATTCCTTAATATCAATAACCAAAAAAATACTAATCCTTTCAAAATATATTGGTTGCATTTTATTTTTGCAAAATGTTTAATATTGAATGCGAACACACATATAGCAATTCAATTTAATTGTAGTTCTCTAATGAGTTATCAAACTAATGTTAGTTTAATGCCCAATCATGTGAAAGTTATGCCCTAAAGCACATTTTAAGCTTAATGAAGAATCGACTAATGTCATGTATATTTCTATCCTCATTATCGAAATGTCAACTTATGACAGATGTGAAAATCCTTTGTGATTCTAACCTCTGTTACAATTCATAGTTATTTTCATACTCGTTAACCTGATTTTGATGGCATGAACAATCATTTTCATGCTCTGAAAAGATCTCTACGTATTCTGTATATTATTCAATGGAATCTCTGTTGAAATTGCTCATTTATAATAACAAGAACTATGCTATTTTGGATTATAATATTTGAAAAAAATCATTGTGTTCAGTGTCATGATATATGCAATTCGGTATTTCTATATCTCCTCGTAATAAACAACTGGCTAGAAACAAAATTAGGATTCATTCATTATTAGTCTATTGGTCCTATTCATATCTAATGGTTACATGTACTGTGTTACTCCACTAACCATTTTAAATTTTCATTATTTTGTATTTTGGTAATAATTAAATTTTTATCACATTCGTAAGTTTTTTGTTAAACATTTGATAACTATTAATGTTTCTGGTTGATTCACTTTTAGATTTTATGTATAGTCGTCCTGATCGTCAGCTTTCTTCAGATCTATTTGTATATCCTCATTACTGTTTACAAAAGGCACTTCATCGACTATTTCATCATAATCATCATTATCCTGAACAATATCGTCCATATCACCATAGTCAACATCCACACCATCAAGATAGTCTTTCTCATCATGATACTGTACTCAAATCCAAATTTTCCAACACTCGTGGTCATCGTTGTTCATATCCTAATAACTCTACAAAAATGCAAATGAATGATAATCCAAATAATAAATTCAACCAGCAGTCTCCCAGTGTACTTCCAAGTCAATCCAGTCATTCATCATCAAGACTGAGTTTTTCCGAAGATAATGGTACAGTATTCCTTTCGTATTCTCCACTACTCGGTTCACGGTCACCTGGTTACCAAACATCTAACTCCAAAAAATCAGATGATGCAATGTCAGGTGTTACATCAGAGGATTTCGAAAGAGCATCGTCTAAATGTTGTCCTCTTTCTAACCCAACCTCACTGTACACATCACTTGTATCTTATCTAATTGTAATTGATAATCATAGTGGAAATGCGCTTGGTATGTTATGTGCTGATCGTTTACTGGCATATTTACGTTTACGGGTAGATGAATTGCCGAATACAGGTCGGATGAATGTAAGTTTCTTCTAGAAGTATCAGTATTTTTTGTGTATAAAAGATTATTTTGTGTGTGTTTTCATGCCGTGATTTTTACATTGTTGCTATTAAAAATGACGAAATTTATTCAGATAAGCGTGCGTTTGGTGAGTAATCAGATCCGTCAAGACCAGTAGAATGGTACATAACATTATCACTGTGTTCTGCGTGAATTTCCTACTATGTGCATGTACTCTGCGCAATAATCAATATAGTTGCGTGATGTGGTGGGTAAGTGATTAAGGCCCTTGATTTTCAACCGTTGTGTTACAGGTTAGGACTGGTCATCACTTATTTTGGCTTGGATAGTCTGTTAGTATCACTACCCCTTTTACAAATGAAGTGTCTTAAAATCTGAGTACAGAAACCTGTTTTTAGTAACTAAGTTATGTCAACAGGTACTGATGGTCTTCAAATGTACTATTTCGTCTAATGAATGTTTTGAATAAATTTAGATTGGACTTAATTAAAGAAATCTTACTTAATCTGTTTATGAAATCAACTTAAACTGCTCAAGTTGATCAATAAAAAAATCCTGATCAAAATAGTTTTCGCTCTTGTTACTTATTGACAAGAACTATCTTGAACAAATACTTACCACCTTAGAGGTTGTATCCAGAATTGTTCAGCCCTATCTTTAAAAGACATTATCTCATATATTTCACTCGTGACCGTAAAATCATTTGTTTACTTATGAATTTTCGCTAGTTCAATAAAGTCACTTCGTCGGTCACCACCACCGACTACAAGTCGATTTGTAAATGCATCTATACACACATTAATACTCTATTGTGTAGAATCAACGATGCTAGTTATAAATTATTCATAGTATTTAACCACTGACGTAGTCCAGCTGAAGAGTAGTAGTACAACAAAAAAATTTATTTTTAAACCTTCATATTTTTAATTCATATTAAGGTTAATTTAATCAGAAATGGATAATGGTTAACAGTGGAATGCAGGACGCGTGTCTTGTTATATTTTGGACTCGTCATCTTACAGGGCACTGTTATGACAATCGCACAGTATGCACGTGTACCAAAAGAGATTGATCAATTTCTTTTGTAGACATTAATGAGATTATTATTATTTGAACACATTGATGCAAGAGAGCACCGAATACATATGCACCACACAGTTATCATTGATATGTGTGTGAGAGCTGACCGGATGTTCAAACCGAAACAGGTGGTTTTCTTATGGGGCCACATCTGGAGCCTTTGACCTAAAGGTTTAATCCACAAGGTGGTAGAGCAACGTTAAAAGATGCAGTCTCATGGTAGCTGGTGACCAACAACCGGTTCATACGCCATTTGTTTCCTTAGGACCCTGTAGCCCATGTGCACCATTGGTTAGGAATTAGGGTTTCCCAACTGCTCTAGGTGGCTCCTTTATATCCACCAACCGGGTTAAAACTCCGGACATTCGCTTTTCGTTCTCTCAATTTCGTAAACAACACCCCCGCCATGAGGTGGTAGTGAGTAGAACTTCCTTGGCAGTGGTTGTATACGTGCGGCCATTTGATAGCATTTGGAGGGGGGGGTTGACTCTCTTCACTCCTGATCGTACCAGTGCATTTGGAGGCAAATAAAAAGATCCAAACAACCGATATATCTGTCTGAATTATTATTAATGTTACTTTACTGTGTATGTTAAATTCATTTTTGTTATAATGAGTTTATAATCAAAAATACTGTATGGTTAAATCATTTCACTCACGATTATCCATCCTTCATTTATCTCATCAACAACTTTGTTTTAGGTGTTCAGTTCGAAGTAATCTAGAAATTACATCGTTTCCAAATTTTTCCACTTTATTATCATTATTATTACTTTCTGCTTGTATCAACCTGATCATGCCTATGAACTAGCGTGCATTCTATTCTCATTTTCGTAAAATATTTTATTATATTGTCTTCGGGCTTTATATTAATATACATACACAATTGGATGGATATATGAAAATATTAAGCCTAGGTAGAAAATCTAAATCGTTGGTCATAATGAATTAGTTTATAGAGTTACACCTATGAAGTACCACGTATAAACTGATGATAAGTAGTATACCAGTAGTAATGATAATATTGATGAAAATAATTGAAGTTTGAATTAGTTATTCAACATAGGAAACAGGTCAAACTTGAACAAATAAATTATTCAGATAATGATCATTAAGAATTATTACAATTATGTTTAGCTATGCCAATCCATTTCATTATTATATCATTCCGCTTACAAATCAACCATCTTTATTACTCAAATATATTTCATATATCCATATAAATATTGTTGTTTATTCGAGCAAAGTCTGATGATAATCCAATGAAAAACAATATTGTTCGCTTATGTGTGTGTTCCATAATAATTTTGGATTTATTATTATTATTTAGTGTTTATAAATGATAGAGAAGCTCAACCTGCTACAACTTATCATGAAATGTTATGGTATGATCTTATTAGTTAGACACTAATATAATGCTAGATACGTTGGTAAAGGCAAAATCTAAATACATTATGTATTATCAAAGATATAGGATGAAATATTCAATTGATTTTTGAGTAATAAGATCTCTGCTAGAAGAGAGTTTACATGATCTTGTTACATGAAATTATTAAAGTCTTCATGTCATATGTGGTGTATGTATAGTTTACGACATTTTGGTTACGAATGAACTATAAGTTTCGGTAAAAAAACTAACATAATGATTAATTTCACATGTATCCAAAGAGACATGTTTATAGGCACACATAAAGAGAGAAATGCATGGATGATAATTTTTGATATTTTGTTATTTATACGAGTATTTGACAAATGTTTTCTTATTCGAATGTAGAAAGTCATATAGAGAAAGCAATAAGATCAATGTATTTTCCAACACATAAATAGAAGCTTTGAATTAATTTATAGAGGTGTACAGCTTAAGCAGGTTTCAAACCTTCTGTCTAACGGTTAAAAGTTGAATGTCTTAACCAGTAAGCTACAGGACAGATTAGATACACGAAGTGGTCTACGAGACAAAAGAGTACTGTCGCATAGGTTCTATCATGCCTAGCTTTTGAAGACTTCACCTATGAGCTCTGATCAGACTCATCAACGACTTGTTGTGTAAACGCGCGAAGTACACTGAACTGAAATGTAAAAATTTCATAAATTTGTTTCATCTCACTCATTATTTTGTAGGTTCCAATCGGTTCTATTCATGGTCTTCGTTGGACTGAACGACACACATCAAAGAAACCAACAGTTACTAAAGTGAGTTCAACATACTCTTTATCATCACATCAGACTACAGAAGAATGTTTACAATTTAGAGAAATTCCTGTTTTACACCCAAATGATCGAGTTCGTGATGCTTTGCATGTGCTAACTAGTTGGTTACCACAGTTACCATGTCTTCCACTTGTACATTATCTGGATGATAATCAGTCCCAGTCGATTGATCAGATTAGTTTTATTTCGCCTGGTGATCTTTTGGTAAGTAATTTAAACGTGCATGTGTATTTTACTTATTAATAAAAGCAGTTTGTAAAATTTAATGTAGGTAGATATGTAGACATATTGCCATAATACAGCAGTCATCCATCATGATCATACTATCTCTTCTATAAGTAACTGAATAAATATTAACTTAATGTGACGCAAGTTTAAGCATAATGTGTTTAATAACTCAGTTCTCATATCTAAAGTTTGTTATAACTTGTACCCCATGTCCTACTAATGCATAACCTAATGATACCGTCAATTAGAGAACAGTGAATTATCGACTGGATCAATGACACATAAAAACTGTACAAGCAGTCTAGAGTTCATATCGTTCCTAGTTCCCACCTAACCTTGCCTGTTAAGTCCACAACACTAATCTCAGCCTCTGCGATATGAATCATGCATTTCAAACATACTGGGTTTATATACCAACCAAACAGATAACATCGTATCATAAAATAAGAAACAGCGTTTGTACAAGATTTAGCCAAATGTGGCTGTGAATATGAGAGATAGTACTTGATGAACTGGGCATATCTCAAGAATGGTAAATCGTATAATAACGGTTCATAGGTCAAAATAAAGCTTATGATAGTAGGAATATTAATATACATAGCTTAGCTACTTACTAATTATACGATAAAAATATACGTATAGTATTATTTCAGATATAGATTCCAACAGTTACTATTCATTATTCTTATCGGGATATAACAAGGTTGTTGTATTGTATATTAGTTTTCGACTGAAGGGGCATTTTCGCATGTTATTGTTTACATATCATAGGAACCTGACTTTGCACGTGTTTTACAAACTAAATGTTGACATAACTGTGATATTCCTATTGATCTCTAGTTGAGGTTCTTCCTATTTCACGTAGTAAGAATGACGTAGTAAACATTAAAGTGTAAACCATTTTTTCATAAAAATGTGTTTCAGTTTACATAGTTCCTTTGTTCGAATCATTGCTTACTTACAATGCTGTCTGTTTTTTCTCTATCGTCCCGAGTAAAAAATCAGTATATTGAATTCCTAGAGAATCTAGCTGTTACGTACTATTTAAGGCATTCTCCTTTCAACCAATAAGTCTCTGGTTCTAATCTAACTTCCCCTTTTATTTATTCATTATTTGTTTACTTAGACATAAATATTGGTGCATGGAGGCACCAAATAGATATGCTCCATACATCATCATCATCCGATTCGTGTGAGGTCTGGGATACTGCCAGGGTACTCAAACTAAAACAAATGGTTTCCTTGTGGGGTGGTCATACCTACGGTGTTTGACCTAAAACTCTTATCCTTATGGCGGTGGAACGACGACGTTGAGAGACGTAGTCCCATCGTGGCCGGTAACCAACAATCGGTTCATACGCCATTTGTTTCCTTAGGACCCTGTAGCCCATGTGCATCATTGGTTTGGAATGAGGGTTTTCCAATTCCCCTAAGTGGATCCTCCATATCTACAGACCCGGTTAAAGCATTTTGAGAAGGAAAGCGCTCTCGCCCTGCTCTCGATTGTACCAGGGCATTTGGGAGCAGGATTCACGCAAATAAAGTGTGCCTTGAGGCTGAATACGTAAATCTGTACTTAATAAATGAGTTCCATCAGATATCAAGACAGGTGTTTCATTTTGTAAAGTTTCTCGAAAGTACAGGTGAACGGAATATTTTTGTTAACTGAATTGTAACTCTTGAATAACCTGCATTGTGTGGCTATTGTCCATTTATTCATTTTTTAGTACTAAGCAAACTATGTAACTCAATAGCTGAGTTAAATTTGTTTGGTTTAAGCATTTAATTTATTAGTTTTTTATATTGTGTACTTACATTAAATCATTAATTAACGGTTAGTTTAATACAGCTTCCTTTATTGTATCAGGCTATATTAGTTTTGTTTCATAGGACAAGTAGCAGAATGCTGTTTTTCAAAGCAATATAGGTAGGAGTACATCAATGATTTTGAAAAGACAATACATTTCTTTTCAAATATTTATTATTGTATAATTAATTAACTAATCAGTCGATAGGATTCGATCAACATTGAGGACTGGGCAAACATAATATTGGCTACTCAGGGTAAATATGACCGTCCTACATATAAGTCTCAGTCCGAATTACTTACACCTGTTACCCCTCATGGAGGAGCATAGGGCACCCACCAGCAATATCCATCGAACTCTGTCTTGGGCAATCCTTTCCAGTTACCATTCATCGTTTGCCTGTCTGCTTTCAATTCCGGAAGCAGTGTATTCTTCGACCTTCTTCTTTTCCGTTTCCCTTCCGGATTTCAAGTTAGCACTTAGTTCGTGATGCAGTTTGATGATTACCTCAATATGTCTTCCTAATTTTCTCTTCAGCTGGACGCTGGTTTGTCCTCTCTCACAGTAGATTGTTGCTGATGGTATCCCGTCAACGGGTATTGAGTATCTTGTGTAGACAATTGTTTATAAATACTTGTACATTTTCGATAATGGTTGTGGTAGTTCTCCACGTTTCAGCTTCGTAAAGTGGAACTAACTGTCTTGACTTTGATATTGGTCGACAGTTGTTTCGAGTTTCATATGTTCTTCAACTGTAGGAATGCTGTTTTTGCTACGTTGTTATTCAGTTCGAATAGCTAGACGTTAATGATTTTAACTATGACACGGGTTCGAACCCCACAGGATCACGGTAAGAGACGAGGAATATCATTTCCATCAAGATTCCAAATACTAGCAGCTAGGTCTAGAACCTTTAGCTCGTTGCTTCCAGTCACTTCACATCAATATGTTAACCATTTTTACTGGGTCTTTATATATTGAAAAATATAAATACTAGTGCATAAGGAAGAAAATCAAATGTTTGAAAAAGAACCTTTCCAGCTTTTCTTTGTTATTTTTTCTACCCATACGATTCATTAGAATTTCATTATCTGTTCCACTTCGGATACTGTACTCAATGAACCAATTAGTCAAATTATTGAGAAGAAATCCGTAGTAAGTAATTCAATGAAAATGTTTCTTTTGTTATATATATATAGCTGTTTTCATTAAATCATTGTTGTTAATAAACGTTTGTTTTAATAGTTAGTTTGTATCACTGATAATGATTGATATCTATCTCATTCTGTACTTATCACTACATTCATAATGTATTAAGAAGTTTGAATCAAAGTGATGAACAAAATCCTCTGACATTTTACAATCGAATAAATAAATGAAATGAATAGGAATAATCTGGTTTTAGTTAGAAATGAATTGCTTTTTTATGTTGCATTCCAACGGCTCACTGCGATTATACTGATTATGCTTGAAGAATTAGATCAACGTTAAATGAAGAAAAAAAATGATGAGAATTAGTGTTGTGAAGGGACGCTAGAGCTTTAATTTAACCAGTATTAAGTGGGAAAAAAATCAATGTGTGATGTGTTTTGTTTCTGTTGTGCTCTCTAAGCCGATTGGTTTCATTTCTAAGTTTTTGTCGTTGTTGTGGACGATGACATCATCGGTGCTTAATGAGCGTAGTAGTCAGTTGTTTAATTTATCCAAAGGCGTTAAATCAGCCTATTCTAACTGATCGAACTCGTCATTTCTACATGAATTTATTGCTGTTGTTCAGAGCGTTCGTCTGGGATAAAAATATTTTCCATCATTTCAAAGTATGGTACCTCTTGTAACAAGCGATTCATTGAAGTAGGAAGATTTAATTATATTTTTTTATCAAATGAAGGTTAAACTATACAAATTGTTTTTATGCTTGTGAAAAGACAGACGGCGAACAATCTTTATAGCTTTAAGAGCCTTTTTCATCGATTTACTATTTAACAATTAGTCTTTAAATTCATTAATCTACTTAGTACATACTTGAGAATTCTTATCATAATCTTGTTTCGTATGTTTCATTCCGAATCATGTGGAATTAAATTGTATAGTGTTTTCTGTTGATTTACTTGAAGATGATTTCGATTGTATTTCTCTTTCTTTCTCTCTCTCTTTCTGTATGTGATTTAATCAGCTGAAAACTAGAGAAATAGAGTTCTCCTTTAATTCATGATTTAGCATAGAGTAAACGATATTTGTCTAACATAGAGACAAAAAGGCTTGTTAGACTAGGTAATAATACCGTACAGTGTTTTTTGAAGCATCAAAATGTGAATTTTTATGGTTTGTTGATTTACGACTTGGAGACGATATAAAATCTATCATTTCCGTTAATAATCTGTGCATAACAATTCATAACCAATAAAACACTTGAAACACTCATTTCGATTATAGAAAATAGTATGATTCATTTATGATAAGATAGTTTTAGCTTTTTCAACTTATCACAACACTCTGAATACAATGGTGAAGCACATGAGATTTTGAATCAGGGTTTCATAACTCTTTCAGGTAGATCCTCCGTACCCACCAATCTTGATGAAGCTCCGGACGTTCGCTCTTCGTTTTCTCACTCTCATAAACACATTCTTAGTGATAAGGTAGTGAGTTAAACTTCATTGGCAGAGACAATAAACATGTGGACGTAGGAGAACATTTCGAGAGGGTGAGTGGACTTTCACCATTCTCGCCCATATCAGGGCCTTGGGGTACATAAATATGTGCAGATATATTTGAATAGGCTTATTTAATGAGGCAACGAGAAGTTTTTACTGAGTTCCGATCTCCATCATTTTTATATATGTCCGTTAAACTGAAGGGTTTTTGTAGAATCCAGTTTACTTCGTAGGTTGTATTCGTCATTGATCTCGCTTTGGGCACGAATGAAAACCATGGAGCATTGGACATTTTTTGTCGCAGTATGGGATTTACCAACAGTGTGCATCTAAAACCCCCAAAATGAATCAACTTAGAATTTTCTGATCTTTCCGCGAATACATAGTGGTTCGACAACTCGAGACCTGAAGGTCTTTGGTTCAAGCCACGGCGGGGTCGTGAGTACAGAATACTGCGGAGTCCTAGAACGAAACAGGTGCTTCGTGTTCCATGGTTTTCAAAGTCATACTAAGTAGGAGATCAGTCTATGATAAGATTTTGGATGTTATATATACCACTTTTATTATTTTTATCTCCTATAGCACTGCCCTTATCAACAACAATGTATTTGTTTCGTCACGGAAACTGTTGATGTTGTATTAGATCGCATGTTCCGACTTAAAGTGAGTATTCTTAAAAAGGTCATTCTATTGTTATCATCGATATATTGTTTCTATAGTTTCTCCTTCAAGGTCCAGTGAAAATATGTTTTGTGGTTTTTCTAGAGGAGGTTTATAATGACGATGTGTTCTTTTAGCTGACTAGTTTGCTTCTTAGGGGTGCAGAGGAGAAAGCTATACACAGTGGAACGTATTTATTTATTTATTTCAACACATAGATATTGGTACAAAGAGGTACCAAATACATATGCGCCACACAAATCTCATTCGATATGTGTGAGGGCTGTGATACTGCCCGGGTGCCGAAACCGAATCAGGTGGTTTTCTTAGGGGGCCACACCCCGGGCCTTCGACCTGAGGGTCTGATCCACAAGGCAATGGAGCATCGTGAGGAGATGCAGTCTCATGGTAGCCGGTGACCAACGATTGGTTCATACGACATTTGTTCTCGCAGGATACTGGAGCCCATGTGCACCATTGGTTTGGGATCCGGTTAAAGCGCCAGACATTCGCTTTTCGTCCTCTCATTTTCGTAAACAACACTCCCGCCACGAGAAGGCAGTGAGTAGGACTTCCCTGGCAGAGACTATATACACGAGGCCGTGTGAGAGTATTTCGAGAGGGAAAGTGGACTCTCCCCACTCTCGGTCGTACCAGGGCATTTGGAGGCAGTGGAACGTATAATCGGATCTTAATTGTCTGATTTATGTTTCATAAACGCTTGGATGTGTACTGTGACATTATAAGTTAGCTTCATATACTTGGTGTGATTAGGTTGCTGATAATGTGATAGCCTAGTAAGAGTATATTTCAAGGGTCAGTTCAGGTATCAGATTTCCAATAAATTTACCATCTCGTCACCTTAAATCACTACGATATTTTGTTTTGTTCTTAATTTATATTCAGTCAAGAATATTCACAACTGATTAGTCAATAAATAGCGACTGATTTCATGTTCGTTCTTTGAGTGCTGGTCGGATTTCATCAAACATGTTACAGTGCGACCACTAGTATAAGTTACTCAACATCACATGTACGTTTAGATATTTAGTAGTTGGGGTAAGTAGACGGTATGAAACCTTGGATCCAGGTTTAGTGCTACTCGAAGCTTGTAAGCTAGGTGTATCTACAATCCTAGGGAAACTGGAGGATTCGAAACTGTAACCTAAAATACTTGATGATAATATGTTAAGTTGAAAAGATGAGTAGCTCGGGTTGGAATCCCCAGGGAGAAGCATCAGTTTTCTTAAGATTTCAATTGCTTTTTATCGAGTCGCATTTAGCGCGAACCCTGGGTCCAGGGGTTTCCACCGTCTAACTCAAAACACTTAATGTCAAAAATACATACTTGGAACTATGTATAGTATACACTAATTAACTATTTCACAACCATTATCATTTTGTAGTGTTCTCATTTACTATTGAGGTTATTCAGTGAGCAACTACTAAGCTTAGTAAATTCCGCTCCTCTGATTATTGTAATGCGCATATGGAACCTTCTGAGAGCTATTGGAGTCTTAGGGTCTTTTATAACCTGATAGATATCGTTCATTTTCTGGACGCAAACAAACAACGGAAGTGAAATCTCTTCTACATTTCCGTCTTATCATTTTGTCCACGTTATTTAGTGTCAATGATTATGCGAGTCTTTAAATTAATTACGAAGTTAATATATTTATGGTCAAGGCTCACGAACATTAGACAAATATACTCTTACAGTTCACCAAACCACAATATTTCACGTTCCTAGAATTATATTCGATTCGATATGGTTAGTGTACTGGATGCTTAAAAATAAGAAAAGTAATTTGTTTGAATTACCTGAACAGTTGATTAATTCTCTATTCCTTACAATAGATATATTCTTTCCTTGATTTTAATGGTAGCAGAAATAGTTCGACAGGGGAGAGTAGTGATAACACGAGTGGTTTTTAGGCAGTCATAATTGCTATTAGATATAAGATTTTGTGGTTTGCATAAATGATTTTCGTGAGTGTTACTCATCACGAACTGGTCTAACTTGGGGTAGTAGTACCATGGAAAACTAGGACTCAATCAATTATTGTTTCATTCTAGTTGTGATAATTCTCCATTGTCCGCATCTACGTTTTCAGTGACCAGACTCAGGACTTACATATCTCACAGTCATCAACGTGAATTTATTATAACTGAAAATGTGTAGTATTGCTTACTGGCCCATCAGTTTAATGGATAAGTCCCTGTTGTGAAACTTGAGGGTTCTAGGTTGGTGAGTTTGTAAAGGTTTACCCTACTCAAGAGTCCCATACTTCGACCAAACAGCTATCTAATGCTTTCTGGCTTATAAAGATAAATTAACTTAAATTAGTCCGTGACGAATATCATCAAGAAATGGATGTACCTGGGATGCAGGTACAAAAAGTCCCAAATACGACGAAACGCGCCTCGTGGATCCCATTGTTAGTTTCCACCCACCTTTGCTTACAAAGCTTGCGACTTCAGGCAATATCCAGGCAGTCTACACTAGATGCACATATACTAACAAGAGACTGATCAATTGCAGTCCTAAACAACAATGGGAAAAACAAGCAAACAATACCAAGTGAATTTAAGATAGTATGGTTTTATATATTACACATTTAACTTATTTTTGCTCAGTGACTTTGTGATTTTGTTTTATTATCACTTAGACACCTTGTTTGATAATGTTTGATACACGAAAAAATAGCGCGTCGTGCACTGTAGCAATTAAACCATTCGGTAGACCTGTTGGTATGGTTACAGCTAAAGACATATTACATACAGTTATTTTAGGCCATCGTCATCATCCTTCTTCTTTACATTCACATCCATCTCATCACATTGGTGACTCTGTGAATACAAGTCAAAACATGTCCGAAGATGATAATATTCCATATCGAAATAAATTACGTGACAATTATAAACGAACTGTTTCTTTCGAATCCGGCGTTCTGTCATCTAGCTGTCAAGATGGTTCAGAAAATATATTTGATGCATCGAGTGGTCAAGTTAAATTGGAACATTCTGAAGAGAAGTTTTCACGATCTCCTTCATTTGATTCACTTCCTTCAAGTGGAACATTTTCCGTATCTAGTTCCAATTCCGAAGTGGTACATTCATTATCCAATGAACATTTCACATCAGCATGTACTGATACTGTTACAAGACGTGATCATTGTAATTGTACATGTCATCATCAACCATCTGCCATTTTCGATAATCATCAACATCAGCAATCTCATCACTTTAAAGTTACTCAAAGTTCTGTAAATCCATCAGCTGATTTTCTTGATAAAACTCACAATCAATCACTACATGGTTCAGGTGAAGAATGGTGTGCTGATCGACGATCTTCTGTACCATGTACAATAAAAGCGAATATGAGAGGAAATCTTAATATTTCAGAGAATAAAAGGTAATTATTATTTATAATTTGACTAAGTTACTTAAAAGGTGTTTCTTTTGATAGATTTACCATCTATTTAAGATTAGTGTCATTTAATTGAGTATGTATTTAACAGTAAATAAACAGTAATCATTCCATTGACTACTAGAATATGCAGTTAGGGTAATATTAATTATTTTGCACAAAATTAGTGCTATGACTTCATAATTAAAAAAAACAATGTTTATACTTTACAATGTGATTGTAAATGCTTCTAGTATTACGAGATAACTTGATGTCAAATAAGAACTATGTAAAGTAGATACTGTGACCTATTCTGTGTTGTTTATTGGTAACTCTGAGTGTACCACATAGTTTTAGGTTACTTCTTTTTAAAATATATTTATTTTGAATACTCCATTTGTTGACAATGTTTATTTATGTTCTTCACCTTTTACAAATATGAAAATAACACGTGTAAAGTTGTAATAAAATAATGTACAATTAATTCAAGTATAATTTTACGCTTTACAGTTAACTGATGATTTTTAAACTTACAAATATGTGATTATACATGATATGTCCATAATAGCTTAATGATGAAAACACTCAACTATCAACTAGTAGATCCCTTGGCTCAAAATACTTTCTTTTTGCTTTATAGAGCCTAAGAGTATATCTAGTACTTTATAGACAACGTGGTTGAAAGCCATGTGCATTTATTTGTACTAGGCAAATGGATTACATTATTTTATTTATTAGTATGGTTATCTATCTGATCATGTAATATTTTTTTTCAATGCTATGACTAATATGCTATTGATATTCATCATTCAGTTTTAAGTAGTATGTTAAGATTTCTGGCTTCGAGTTGTGATTCTCACTATATATTAGACAAATTTTCTTTGCTTCAAGGAACTGAACAATATTTTAATTTGATTTGATCAAAATTTTAATACTCGTCTTTATTCTATTGTTTAAATTAACTATTTATTGTTTAAAACTTGCATGATATAATAGAAAGAAATAGATTTATAATACGGGGTATATTTGCTGCTAGTAATATATTCATTAGTGTAATCGTACCGTTTATACTAGTTTATTTATTATTTATTTCAACACATAGATAATGGTACAAAGAGGCACCAAATACATATGCGCCACACAAATCTCATTCGATATGTGTGAGGGCTGTGATACTGCCCGGGTGCCCAAACCGAAGCAGGTGGTTTTCTTAGGGGGCCACTCCCCGAGCCTCCGACCTAAAGGTCTGATCCACAAGGCAGTGGAGCATCGTAAGGAGATGCAGTCCCATGGAAGCCGGTGACCAACGATTGGTTCCCGCAGAATACTGCAGCCCATGTGCACCATTGGTTTGGGATCCGGTTAAAGCGCCAGACATTCGCTTTTTGTCCTCTCATTTTCGTAAACAACACCCCCGCCACGAGAAGGCAGTGAGTAGGACTTCCCTGGCAGAGGCTATATACGCGTGGCCGTGTGAGAGTATTTCGAGAGGGAGAGCGGACTCTCCCCACTCTCGGCCGTACCAGGGCATTTGTGGGCGTTTATACTAGTACTAGTGTTCAAACATGTAACACTTGATGATATAACAATATGTATTGTTATTTATCAATATTCAAGAATTGTCAGTTATTTTGCAATGAGTGTAGCTTTCGAAGTGATGTGTTTGTAGTTATTGGTTACACTTAAATAAAGTGTATAACTTGTATGCTCAAATGTGATTGTTTAAATAGTTTTAACAAATAGGTTATTATTCACTTGGCATTGTTTGGCTTGTATCTTCCCATTGAGGTTTAAGACTGCAATTGATCGGTCTGTTATTGGCATATGTGCATACTGTGCGTATGCCTCGATATTACCTTAGGTTATTAGATTATTTCTGTTATCATGACAGGTAAACATAATAGGAGTTTCTGTCAGTTTCTACAGATAAAAAACATGTGAAATCAGAATTACTCATAGGTTTGGATAGTTGACGAAAATTATTTAAAATATATATATCTATGCGATATGCCTTATAGGTCTACACTGAAATGCATTAATATCTTTATTAGTATTAGTTAAATAATAGCAAAATCCTTTTGTGGCCCGGGATGTGACTCCAGTGAGATGGTTTCTGATTGATATTGAGATATACATATCGTCAATCCTCGTATATTATCATCGACTTAAATCGCGTTACTGAACAACGGAATTAAATAAACTAAATACGAGGATGGATTTTGAATATATACATTTCATACACTCATTGATTTGAACAGGCGATCGGGGAATGAAGCGAAGATAAATGAAGCGCAGTGGAGAAGGCATGTGAGCCAACTCCATTTAACCAAGCGTTAATCAATATTTGTAGTCACACAAAATCAAGCTACAGACATGTGATGAATAAAATAAGAAAGGTACACATATACGTTAACATAAAAACAGTCAAGGTTGATAAGTGAGGGAATTCTCGGAGTTCTAGTAAGAAGCCGTGACCAGTGGAGCTAATCCTTGTCGGGTAGAGACAGTTGTCTACCTCAGTACAATGGAAGTTGGCCGCGCAATTTCGTGGATTGGTTGATGTTAGAAGCTATCGCCATTGGATGCAGGCTCAGTGGTCCAGTTGGTTAAGCGTTCGCGCGCGAGACCGAAGGCCCTGGGTTCGAATCCCGCTCGCGGGATCGTGTATGCGCACTGCTGAGGAGTCCCACAATAGGACGAAACGGCCGTCCAGTGCTTCCAGGTTTTCGATTGTGATGGTCTAACATCAATTGGTTCAAGATCTCAATCAAAAACTTAATAATCTCCACAACTCCTATACTAGTAAAAAAAAATTAACCAAAATACATCGATTTTTCACTGTAAATTGCACAATCAAGCCTATATTTCTTTTCCTATTTCTTCGTTTTCATCACTTTCAGTGATGCACTTACTATGCTCTAATTAAAACTGTTTTGATCTGAAAGTGATTCACTTATATCCAAAGTTTAACTTTGTTCCAGTCAATTAGTTTTAAACAACTGATAATATTCTTATTTCAGTGATATCTAACCTTAGTATATTTTACAGTTTCAAATTGGACAAAATTTCTTTAATTTACTTAATATGGTTATGAATTTAGTTTAATATTACACACATTAATTTTTCTTCACAAAGTTCGTACTCTTCTTGGACCCAAACAAATAGAAGAGCGGTAATCACTATATCGCTTTGTGAACGTCAGCATTAGTGTCCAAATCAATCCTTTTTGGGAGCTTCAAGTAGGACTAAACTCATATGGTTCAAGATCCCATCGCTTGTCACAATCCAGAAAAAAACCTGACTTTTTTTTTAATCAAGCGACTTATTGTATTCATTGTTTGTGATCTTTTCACTGATAATTTTTCTAACAAAACAATTCTTTCTTTTCTCTAAAAAAAATTCAATTATTTATAGAAAGTCTGTTCCGGTAGTTAACTCAGATCGATCGAAACACTTAACTGTTTCCAATCCTTACATACAGAATAAAAATGATTTAAACAGTTCACTACAGTTAATCGACAACAGTTTCACTGAAATCAATGAATCGATTGTTGGCGATATTTCTGTTCAATTGAATAATAATAATAATCCTAAGAATAAACTGGATAAAATTGTCACTCAAGAAGAAGATGATACTGTTTTCCCAATGGATTAAAAGAATTTGATTGATTCTATTCTTTGTTGGTTTATTTGAAACAAGATAGCGATAACAGCGCAACCACGATTGAATATGATATTGATACTAGTTATTTGTATTAATTGAGGGTTGTTGCACTTCATTTTTATTTAATAAATTAAATATGATAACAAACCGTTTACATCTTTGTAGTACCTATTTGCCTTCAGAAATCTTATCAGTTTTTCCATTCTTCCATAATATATGTACATGGCTTTAGAAAATAGAATACACAAACTGCTGAATAATGATATGTACATTCATATATATTCTCCGGTCGTGATGAAAACACATATTACATACATCAGTCTATGTATAAGCAACATATTCTTTTACTATTGTGTTTCTTTAGTTAACAGAAACATAAATAGATGTTCACCACTGGCCTATAATTACCAGTTTTGTGGTTAAATATAACTCAATCGAACAGTTTAGTCTTTTTTATGTATGTATTTCATGTATTTTCATTTCTTTTATAAAAATCATGATTTCTAATAAAATGTAATTGGTAAATCCGATAATTAAGTACTTAGCAGTCATACTCCTCTCACTTATTTTTGTTCAGTAATCTAACATATTTACCATTTATAAGTTTCTTTATAGACTGAGATTATTCACAATGTTTCCAGTGGTCAGTAAGCATCCTATATCTAAAACTATTTCGTCCACGTTTTGCTCATTTAGTGGGTGAGTGATGCATATCGGAGTGTAAGTTTTACCGAACTATTTCATTTCAAGAGTTATCCTCAATCGTTCATTATGTATATGACACTATGGCTCAGCCTACTACGCCGCATAGAAAACACAAATATCAAGGAGTTTAGGGCTTAAACTGAAATCCATGATCAAAGATACACTATAATATTCGAGTGTTTGAACTACTTACAGACTATTCGACGTTACAACAAATAGACATTATAAATTGCATGTTTAAATTGATAGACAATAACATTATGTATTGAATATCAGTAATTAACGTAGTATAATACATAAAAGAAAGGAAAATTCAATTAGAAATCACATGGCGGAATTACTATAATGATAAAACCAACATTTCAGCGTACGATTCCTTTTAAGAGATGTTGTTTAAATGATATTCAAAAATTCAAATGATGTCATATAGGAAAATTATTTTGGAGGTAGATAAGTGAATTATGAAAAGGTAATAAATAAGTAAAAACAAGAGATTTCAATTAAATCTTTCTCTGCATACAACTCAAAATTTAAATCGTGAATGACTAGAGCTTTTGTAAGGTAGTGTTGGCTTAGCCGTTTACACCACTGGGAATCTTTAAATGGATTATTTTAAAGAATCAATTTGAAATGGAATGTTCTAAATCGACTATCTTTTAGAGTATCAAGGATATTATTAGTCGATATTGTCTTTTACCAAGCGATCTTGGTAAATGTAGAGATATACTATTTTGGTTACAAAATTAAATAATCTAATATAGGATGTTTGAGTATTTCATTGTAACACAAACTGTTTATAAATTATAATCAGAATGGGTTTTGTGGAGAATTTAAGAAATTTCACAGGTTTAAATCATGAGTCAGTTGAAGCTAGACCACCATTGAAAACCTGGAAGCACTGGACGGCCGTTTCACCCTGGTATGGGACTCCTCAGCAGTGTGCACCCACGATCCCGCACCACGCGGGGCTCGAACCCAGGACCTACTGGCTTCGCGCGCGAGCACTTAACCATTAGACCACTGAGCCAGCATCCAACGGTGTTAATGTCTAACTTCAACCACCGTACACCATTGTCTTCGGTGAGTTGTTATCTCACAACAGACCGGTTGAACTCCACTGGTAACGGCTTCTCACTAGAACTCCAGGAGTTTTTCTTGAAGTCAGTCACTAGTGAGCAGTTGATTATTATTATCAGGATGGGTTTTGTGGAGAATTCAAGAAATTTCACAGGTTTAAATCATGAGTCAGTTGAAGCTGAGGAGTCCCATACCAGGACGAAACGGCCGTCCAGTGCTTCCAGGTTTTCAATGGTGGTCTAGCTTCAACTGACTCATGATTTAAACCTATAAATTAAAAATTTATAAAAACCAATATTTGCTAGCTTTGACAAATTTAATTGATAATCATCTAAAGTCTTCTAACCGAAAAGACTATCTCTGAATGCACTATGACTCACATAAATGGGAGATGATCATGTTAGTTTAATCTCATCATATTGTATCAGTATTGTATGTGACTGAAGTGATAAATGCAATAAATAATTACTTCTATTGGAATATTTTTTTCCAGAAAAGAAGTACAGATAATTCAGTACTATATGGAATTTGCATCGGGTAGCTGGTATGTAAGCTCAGTATATTTTTTCATTATTACTCAGCTAGTTGAGAAATTTATGTCGTATGAAAGTGAGGAAGCTAGCACTGAATTTATCACACCATTTATATTCTACATTTATATACGTGGTCTTTTCAACTACATGAATTGAGTAACTAGCATCATTTGGAAAAACTCAGGAAATTCACGAAACTTTGAAGACTGTCTATGAAGAAAATACTGGATCAACTAATTTATAAGCAATGATTCTGAGTTAGGTAATCCATCAAACTATATTTTGATGAAAACATCAAGCATGTCTTGTGATTTGTACTTTTTAATCAAGGATTCACTTTCCGGATGGTTGCCGATCAAATAAACTTAAGGAAATCATATGTGTACGTTATGTGAAACGATCCCAAGTTCTCAGGATGCTTTGTATGATGGAAATGCAGGTTGGATAAGTGTATCGTCACAAATATGAAGTATTTCAAAGAGGAGTAAAACTAGTATACCATCGGATTTGTTAAACAAACTTTTTACGACCTCAGAATACTAATTGAAGAGATTAATACATTTAGAGACAATTGGAAAAAATAATTTTTCCGTAACACTACTAATCTTTATCCCGACTTTATTGATAGATTGTAATTTTATATAGTAAGGTGGACAATCTAGTATCGTAGTAAGCAAAGCTACACTTGTGAATACTCACACACGTTGTTCATTGGTTTATTTCAATTTATTATCAGCCTTTGGGATTTTTACCTTATTGCTAGAATCTCCCTGCGTAGTACTTTTATTGTCATGCCACATGAAATCAATGCTAAATAGGTATGAGTTTGATAGGTATTATCCGTGGTGTGTCTTCGAATTGCATGCAGTCAGGAGAACTGTACAGTTACAATTATTGATTTGACTAAATGTAAGTGTAGCAAAAATAAGTGATATGTGCGTAACTTGACTATCAATTGGGCAGACATGCAAGGACATTCAGTGAATTTTTATCTATACCGTCACGGACCGCAGTCCAGATGACGTTAAAATATGTATACCGTCATTTTTTCTGTAAACGCACAGATATCATTATCATGGTCAAACAAGTGACCATTGGCGCATATTGTTCAATAGTTAGTCAGTAAACACAACCTCACACAAAATGGTTGTACATTACAAAATGTATGGCAATGGATTAGTAAATTCCTTGGTTAAGGTTCCTGTTCAAATAAAAGCCGTGAATGAAATCAATCCCATTATCCAAGTTGTGAATATTATACTGAAGCAAACTTGATTCACTGAAATGATGTTTTTCCAGTAATGGTCAAGAAAAATAAAAGCGTCCATGTAAAGTTTAATAAGTATATTTGTAGTTCTTTGTTTGCATTCAATTGTTTACATAATATTTTCAGGTACGAAACTTCTCTCCATCTCTCAGGGTTTGTTTATGACTCAATAATCAACTCTTCTCGTTACCTAGTATTCCTGACCTCTCTAAGATCTTCTTGCATCCTCTACTTCTATTGAAAAATAAATAAGTTATAAAGAGAAGAGTTATATTTATTGGAAACTTTTCATTGCGCATAATTACTGAATTTGTTAAGCAAATTAGTTTATAAAGAATCAAGACAACAGTAGTTCACTAACACAGAAATCTATTTACTGCTTAACCCTTACATACAGTTTACACACGTCATTCAATTTCATCTTTTTGTAATTACATAACTCATTTTAACTGAATCATAATGCAAGAAAGATACCGTGTGAATGTGGGAAAATTTACGAGTTTACAAATTCATAACCTTATGTGTACATGTACAATAAAATAAAAGATACATGTGATAAAAGTTTTTGTTGAAAAGTGGTTTCTGTGTGTTTGTTATCAAGCGTTAAAATAAGGCTATTTTCAATATTCTACCTATCCTGATTTTATAACAGATCAATGTGTAATGTTTTATAGGATAGCTTAAAACACTTTGAAAGTTAAAACTCAAATAACGATATTGTCTTTATACACTACACATAATGAACAAGTGAACATCAACTCTGAGATGCAGGTACATCCGTCTGACGAGTCCCAAACAGGACGAAACGCGCGTCCTGGATTCCACTGCTAGCCACTATCCATCTCTGCTTATAATGCTTGTAAATTAAGGCAATATCGAGGCATACGCACATATGCCAATAAGAGACTGATCAACTTCAGTCCTAAAAGCATCAATGGGAAGATTCAAATAAAACAATATCAAGTTATTGTTTTTTTTCACTTAATCCTGTGTATGTCCATGTGTTGACTATTTTTTTAACAGTTTCTTCTGATATTTTGTTAACAATAAAATAATTGCTTTGTTTACATAAGTTAACTTTGTGGTTATTAATCATAAAAGATACCATACTTTTAAGATCACGTAGAATCGGATAAAACATTATAACTACTTATTGAATTGACATGGGAATAATTTGTCAGAATATTGGCTATCATAGTACTTTGACGTTTAACATACATGAAATATGTGTTGATTAATGATGTAACAAACGATTCCATGGTCTTTGCAAGGCTATATATCTAAGAAATGTAAGTGCGGACATGATATTGTGAGTAATCAAACTGCTCATCTAACAAAGATAACTTATTTCGGTATCCGAAAGTTGGATACATTATTATTTAGCCATTATCAATCAAACTTTTCCCATTCAGCAATAATTTTCTTATTCCAAGTCAAGTGTTTAAGCTAGTGTACATAAATTAAAGCAGAGGTAAATGGTGGTCATCATTGAAATCCACGAGTCGCGTTTCGTCGTATTTGGAACTTATCAGCTTGATATAACTGCATCTCACGGTTGATATCCACTCCAGGACTCGACCAAAACTCCGTTGTGTTATCCACTTAGCTATTGACCTCAAATAGCCACTAGCTTGTATTTGTGAATTTCTAATGCGTTTTTATATTGGTTATCAGTATGGGGTTCTGGAGATTGTTGAATTTTTTATTTAGATCATGAATAGATCAATGTTAGATCACCATTGAAAACCTTGAAGTACTGGACGGCCGTTCTCGAAGCTAGTCACTAGTGGGCACATGGTCATTATCACTATGGATTCTGAGGATTGTCGAACTATTGGTTGAGATCATGGACGATGGCTAGCAGTCGAATCGAGGTCTGCCGTTTAGTTCGTCTCTGCTTATTATACTTGTGACTAGAGGCAATATCGAGGGGATCCACATAGGATATGCATATGCCAACAAGAGACTGATCAATTAAAGTCCTAAACATCAAATTCAAACAACCAATCCAAAAATGAATAATTGTACATAAATAATTAAATCCGATAATGATCTTAAAATGAAATTACCACAAAATATTGATGTACCAATTTCTCCCATTAAATGTAAAAAAAATACCGACATATATCATAATATTTACATACTAATTTGATAACACAATTGTACTTTACTCACATAGTAACTTTACGAACGCCTTTTTTCATGGAGATCTCAGTTTTATTAGCTGGAGTGAAATCCATACTAAGTTTACAATCTTGAATTCGAATTTTCAAGTGATTTTTTGAATTTAAACTATACTTTTCGTGTCCAACTTTGATTTTTCGATTGCCTAAAATTAATTTTAGACAATTACACATTATTAATAATCGGCAGGGTTGGATGGAGAATGCTGGTGAGCGGCCTATGCTCCTTCACGAGGAGTAACAGGCGTAAGTAAGTAATAATCGGCATTGAATTATATTTATCGATAGTCGGGAAATGTTAAGATAAGTAATATTGACTTGAAATTCTCATATGTGTTAGTTGAATTTTACTAGAAGTTCATACATGAGTACGCTTATTCATGAATATGAGTTGAATCAAGAAAATAAACATTTTATTTGTAACATTGTTTAAACTGAAAAACTTATTTATTGCTGATTTTTTTGCTGTTTGGAGATTCTAACAGAATTGTTTATGTGTTTAACTCAGGGAAATGAATATAATTAAGTTTTTGGTTGAGATCATGAATCAATTGATGTTAGACCACCGTTGGGAACCTGGAAGCACTGGACGTCTCTAACCAACCCATAAATGTATTCAGTGATATTGATAATTTGCTTCACGGACCGACAACTTGGGCATACACTGTAGATTGGGAAACCCCGATAGTTGTTTCTACGTATGTCAGGTTTTTCTTAGAGTAAAGTCAGAAATTTGGACTCCTATAGTTAAGCAAATCAGAAATCGAAAAGTTACTCACTGACGACAGTGAGAGTGGATAGCGCTATGTCACAAATTCAAGTGGTGTTAAGATAATAGTAACAAGTAGATCTTAATTTATTACTTGAATGACACACTGGACTTATACTGCCGAATGAAATGGTAATCAATCATCCTTGGTTTTCAACAATTGTGTTGACTAATATCAACCATTGTGGAAAAGCGAGTAATAATTTATCAGATTAACTAAACTAAACTTTCTAATTTCCTATCAAAACAATTTTCTAAGTGAACATTAAGATTTTCTTTTTGTTTTCCTGGTGGCGTACATATAAAATCACATATTTATACCTCAATTAATCACATAAGCAAGTGATAATTAACCTCAGATAAATCATCAACTACTCACCATGATCATCGAATTTCAATGGAGCTTGGAGTACAAAACATTTGTTTAGTTCCATATATGACAGTATTAAACCAATTAATAAATAATTCGCTGTCGATAGATTAACCATTCTGTTTTCTATAATAATAATAATAATAATAATAATAATAATAACTATCTTCGATATGGAAGATACACATTATTTATTTATAGAAAGATACACATGTTTGAAGTTGTTACGAATGTATAAATAGAATATTATTGCTTGACTACTAACCATTTTTGACTAAAGTCCTGGAACTGCCAGTAAAAATATATGATCTACGAAGTTGGCGGTGAGTTAATCATTATCAAAGGTGGGGATGATGTTTGAGTATGCTTAATGCATATTTTCTAAAGTCAAAATTGTAAAACTATAGCACCAAAATCATTAGTTTAAATGTATCAAGTTCATTATGAGATTTGAATTTTGTAGATCAGATCTTATATGCAGTTGTCGGTATTCCCTATTAAACATTCCTAACTTAGAATGAAACATGAATCCAGACAATTCGATAGTATATATCAGTCTCCGATATAAAAAACTATCTTCAACGTATCATAAGAATGTGAAATTATTGACATTAACAGCTGATAATGACTTACTTCAACAACAATAATTAAAACATTAAATTGTAAAGCAATTTATACAATCCCATTTTATATTATCTATAACTATCTATTGATTTATAATTGATCAATAAAATGCAAAGATTGAACATATTGTCATTGTCATTCATTCTCTTTACTCCTAGAATGGAGCATAATTCAATGAATAGAATGACATTTTAATAGTTAATTTATGACATGAATGTTTGCAAAAAGTCAAGTAGAGTATTAACTAATTAACTAATATTCATTTTCTGTTAGACTTGATTCCTTTTATCACGTAATAAAATAGAAAAAATGGACATAAATTTAGATTTTGTCATGTTACTTTTAAAAGACACATTCTCTGTCAATTGTCTTTAGTCATAGTGTGAAATATTCGATTCTAAGGACATAGTGTGTTGGAGAATGCTTGTTGGCGGCCTATGCTCCATTGGGAATAACAGGCGTAAGTAGGTAAGTAAGTAAATAGAATGTTCGATTAGCAAATTTAATGACATTGACTATGTTGGGTGATTAAAATAATTAATGATAATAATAGTCGTTTTATTTGACGCTTTATATTTTATTGTAGTGTGGTGTATGTTACTGATATCGATTAAAATAAGTAGTATGTATCATCAATTGAAATTAAAATACTTAGAGATAGTAGGTTAAGTAGATCTAATAGAAAAGAATATGAACAGACAGTGATTAGTGTGGAAAAAAAGAATCAGTCAGGTTTGATACAATTGATTGACGTTTTGCAAATGGAAAACTTACTGTGATTATCTATAATTGATATTCAACTGCTAATGTTCACTATCAGTTCTACTCCCATGACATCACTTTTTACATTTTATGCATAAATTCTATAGTAACCGGTTCCCGTTTCTCACTGAGAGAAATGTATATATATATATATATATATATATATATATATATATATATATATATATATATATATATATATATATATATATATATATATATATATATATATATAATAAGATTCGTAATAGTTTGTAAACACTATGAGAAAATATGTGGGGACACGTAATTAGAAAAACGAATTACCTAATTAAAACAAATCTAAAACATGAATATTGATGATAATAAGTGCATATTCTCGAGAACGGATGGCTTAGAAGTTTGAGCAAGCCTTTAGTACTCAAATGAGGCGAAAGATGTGAACCTTGTTTTCATGCCAGTCGGTACTTATCAACAAAGAATATTCATAATTGATCATCTTACAGTTTGGCGCTGATATCTGATTAATACTAAGGCCTAGATAAACACCATATTTGTTATTAATCAGCGATCAGTCAGTGTGAACAATAACAATGCTAATGAATATTTCGGGACTCACTAAATTTTGCGGGCTGCTCGATATTTGTGCTCATGTTTAGGAAGTGCATGGATCTTGGCTTGTGTAGTGGTGTATCTAGGTATATGCGAAGAATACGCACTGTACTCGTTACTGAGAACTCCAACAGAGCCTCCAGAGGCCCTAAATGAGCCGAGGAGTCCTAGTCAATCAGAGCATGATGGAGCTTTCTAGAACAGCGTGGCGTGCTACTATTGGTCAGTAGCATAATATGTCTTTCAACGGATTGGCCAAAATGTGATGTTGATTTAACAAATGTTAAGATCTATAAATACCCGCGTTTTTCTGTACAAAAATGAACCTTTGGAGTAAAGTGTTTTTCGCTTATTTTGCGCCTTTTCTCTAGAATACAGGTCGCTGAGTAGTTTTAGCTTGCGGGTTGCCAGAATACCTTAGGAACTGAATAAAGCGTTCAACTTAACAAGACTTATCACTCGCAAAAAGAAAATAAGCTAAAATGTTTGCCTTATGTCTAATAAAATCAGAGGTCCAAACCATCAGGCCGAAAACGTAATAAGATATGGAAGCAAATATTACGGAATGGTAACCATCAATCCTCCCTGATAGTCCTTATGCTTATGTGTATGTCATAAAGTGCATGGACAGAAGTTTATGTACCACTTGTATGCGTGTAATGAATAAGAGGTAGTCAGTTTTAGTAAATATGTTCAAATGGAGCTGTGACCATCTACACTCCCAGGTGAGTGAAGATACCTATATGTATGCTATAGGATGCATAATTGGAAACGTGTGTGTTATTGGTGTGTATGTTACGTATATTCGCTCTTAGGGTGAGCATATCTCTATATCCTAAGGGGTGCATATGTGGAAATGTATGTGTTACCAGTATGCATTTTGTAATATATACTTGCTTCATGGTGCAACACTCGCTCACCAATACCCGGAGGTATCGATTTCCTTACGAAATCACATCCATGCTGTTATTTCACAAGCTTTGATCACAGAAAACAATTTGAGAAAGGTCACTTCGGCTTCACCAAATAAGGCTCAACCAGCTTTAAATGGCTGGAACACCACCATTGGTTGGATACACTAGTGGTATTCGGCACAATTATGATGTTTAAATTTAGTCTGGTGATTAGTGGTGATCATCAGGAAGTCCTTGGTACGTGCTAGTCGATACCTCTATGATAAGAACATGTGCTCTCAGTGACATTCGAATCCACGCCATCTATTATCAGTCAGAGACGTTATCATTGAGATATTCTAACCACAACCTCTCATGAAATCTGCGTAAAAAAAGTTGTAATTAAAATACCTCGTTCATTTTCCTATAAACAACATACACTGAAGTAGTCGCTAACTGTTAAATTGTAAAATACTTCAGACGAAATATTTAGGCGTAATATTAAATGAAGTTTATCCTTTTCATAGAACCCGTCATAATACACTGAAATATACTGTTATGTTACTTTTCAATACCAGGACGATTTATACTAAGTTGGCATCACATATTGTGTTTTACTCGCTAGTGTCTAATATAAAATATATGTGTTCGATAATTGATTCATTTAGTTGTTAGGCCTTTCATATCGTACTTGCTTCCATGTCGATTTCTTATTCCTCATAATATTCAGCTCTTAAATCCCAAAGTTACTAGAAATGTGAGGTAGGTTTCATCACCAAGTTTAGTTCATTTATTAACAACAATTTATATTTCTAAGTTAACAAATGAACTTCAGACTCTAGAATCTTCTAAGAAAGTAACCTACATTGGTAATAATTTTGGCAATCGACTCATCAGATTATGGAACATGATAACCGTTTGATACCTGAGTAGTTTCCAGTGGATAAAAGTTCTTGAGGTTTCTATGGGATTCTCTAAAAAATTAACAGTCAGTTCGAACACTGATAAAGCCAGACAAGCTGTATACACTCTGGTTTCTTTTTATTTTTTATTTCTAAAAATCTGCTTCAAAAACTCTTTGAGATGATTGTCAGACAAAAGTACATTTTACTTAATCTGATGGTATGTTTTCTCTTCAGTGAAATGACAACTATTAATCGAGTAGCAGATTGCATTAGTTTAATCAAGGAGGTGGAACCTACTGACCACAAACTAGAGTTTTTCAATTGTTTGACTGAAATGTATGATAGTAGTAACATGAAACTCGATATTTTTCGGAAATCAACACACTTTGAGAGATCTTTAAATGACAGGTTGGCAGATGGTTGTTCTACGAGGGTCTCAGCTGTAAAGAACTTATTCAACAGTTGTAATTTCACTACAGAAAAAACACATCAGATTAAGTTAGATTCAATTATGTATAATCATAGGACTAACAATCATCTAAAAGAGTTTCAGGACGAAAAACGAATGAGAGTATACTGAGAGAAAAAAAGAACACAAATGTCACCTTATACCGTATCGGAGGCAACCAAGAGGATTCTAACTAACCGTAGTATATCAGCTTATTTCTGAACCAGTGATTCTGTGAGGCGAGCTTTATTTAAATTTATGGATATGTTAACAGGGGAACAACAACAGGACGTTGTCTGTGAATTTAAATGTCATAAATCCATTGCAGTTTGTGTGTATGAAGCATCTAGACAACTGAATATGGGGTTGAAGCAACACCAACAATATCTGAAGCGTGCTCCAAAACCCTTGATTGACTAAGGGAATTTCAGGAGTAGATTGACCGTAGCATTGCATTCGCTAGAAGGAGGTCAAATGGTCAACTTTAAAAGGGCTTGGTCGGCACGACGACTGACATCTGAAGCTTAGTATATGCATTCTAATCAGAACAAGTAGTCTCTACTCTGTTTATGTCACACTTGGATTTATTCTGTCAAAAATTTATGTTAATATTCAGACATCACAACTCTGTACTTGATGTTTCTCATTTTACATACACTTCAATGTTTTTAATAAGCTTTTCAATTGTACCACCATTTGCAATAAACTGAATGATAAATCTCTTTGGTAGCAAACAAGTATGCTACTTATTCCTTTCTTATTTAATGGTATACTACTTATTAATTATAAGTAACTTGAATTATATCTAATCATTGGTATGACTTGCATACGTTTACGACAGCTATTGGCAAGTCACTCGATACCTGGACAAATCATGGTTCATTATCGGAAAATACCTAGTCCTTATTTTTCTTTTTACAACATCAATATAATTTACGAAAATCCAATTCTTCCTATCTCTGCATTTTTACACGAAACTCGACAGCTGAATTAAAATCCTAGTGTTGACTGTTAAATTTACAGCATATTCTCTATTGTATAAGCATTTTAATCAATATAGTGTTTTATCATGAAAAATGCATGAATTTAGTTTATCATCAGAAACCAGAACTAATCTAGCTAGTTTGCATCTGTCCGCTAATATAAACCATTAATTCCATACATAAATAAAGATATGACATTTCGATTTTAGAACGAAGATAATACATATGATTGAAATGGAATCTAAAGGTAGACATTTCCAATTCTCATTTTTTTTCTACTATAATCATTATTTAGTTTAGTAAAGCAGTTAGAAATGGGATGTGTTCATTAAGTAAGTTTTAATTGTTACTACTTACATTTTACATAATTTCACTTAGTTTTTGCAATCATCGTTACCTGTTCATACCTTAGTGTGGATTACATTTTAGCTATTCATTTATTCCAAAAGCATGTTCCATTTAAAGTAGCTTTTAATAAATCAATCATGTATGTTAACTTTTCGTCATTTCATGAAACTCTTACAAATTGTTATGATGCTAAATAATGGTAAAGTTAGGTAGAAACACTGTAGTAATTCGTATCCTTATACATATATGAATAATATTGTAACGTGAATAGAATAAAACACTTGTACAGATGAGAACTGAACGTATATGTTTATGGTTATACATAAATAAAAGGCGTTTTAGTATGTAATTCTTCTAAGTATTCACAAGTTAATAGGATACCTGTTGCTACATATTGCATATCTTTTTGCTGAAAAATTCTTTATTGCAATCAGATATTTGGTACTCAATAAATGGATTTTTATGAATCCTATAATTATTATTATTATCATCATTATTATTATTGGTAGTGATATTGTTGTGAAGAAAAACACAAGTAGGGACAATCGAATGTAGTTGAACATGAAATCGCAGAACATCTAAGTGAAATCTGAGAACCATACAGTAAATACTGAATTTGCAGAATGTCGATCGATTATCTTAAACTTGATTGTTCCTTTCTCAAATGTTAATCAATCGTCCAAGAATTCAATGTTCCTTCATTTCCACAGCAATCATTCTCCGTTCTCGTTCAGTTTTCATAAATCTTCTTATCCTTTTGCTGCCAAATATTTCACTTTGGATTCATGATATTTACTACTTATATCTATCGACAACAATAGCACACACCACAATACGATACCCAACATTTACCATATTTATAATAATAATTTAAGTTTATCATTCCATTTTTTAATCAAAACGTTGTATCTTCAGTTAGTCAACACAATTTCAGTGATAATCAAGCAACAATTGATAAATCCCTACATTCTTCTTATTTTGAAATACTTCTGGCATCAAATAACATTGTTATTATGGTAGTTATTTTGACTAGACTTGATCAAATTTATGATTATCTACTGTTCTATACAACTTTTGATTAGAAAGTTTTACCTAGTAAACAATTTACAGTTCTTGTTAAAATTACTCAATTAATTATCAACTGATACCTATAAATATTTAAAGCACCATTGTCATCCATTTGTAGTCGAATTGAATGTGAGATACAGGCATCTATTTATTGGATACATATTACCTAGTTTGTTACAAAAGCTTTCATCCCTTGAGTCATTTATAGAGGCTCAGACTGTATATGTAAAAGGTGAGATGACCACTTTATGAGATGGAATCAAGAAAATGTGCCTCATGGTTATATGAATGAAATTCTGGAAATTGTCTGTACATTTGACCATAAAATTCTCTGAGGATTGTTTAAAATAATCTAAAGGACTAACAGGCTCACTTTAATAGTCTATTGTATTTTTTTTGTCAAAGTAATATACTACATTTAATTGAATGAAATCTATTCAGCTTGTGTTATTTTACTTTGTTTGCATCACTTAAGAACTTTCTATCTCCTTTTATCTATGATTTATCCGTTTTATTTTTCTATAAACCAGCATTTCATTTAATATGGCTTATTTTTTAGTAGTATAGGGGTTGTGGAAATTATTAAGTTTTTGATTGAGATCTTGAACCAATTGATGTTAGACCATCACGATCGAAAACCTGGAAGCACTGGACGGCCGTTTCGTCCTATTGTGGGACTCCTCAGCAGTGCGCATCCACGATCCCGCCAGCGGGATTCGAACCCAGTTGGTCGCGCAATTTCGTGGATTGGTTGATGTTAGAAACTATCACCATTGGATGCCGGCTCAGTGGTCCAGTTGGTTAAACGTTCACGCGCGAGATCGAAGGCCCTGGGTTCGAATCCCGCTCGCGGGATAGTGGATGCGCACCGCTGAGGAGTCCCACAATAAGACGAAAAGGCCGTCCAGTGCTTCCAGGTTTTCAATTGTGATGGTCTAACATCAATTGGTTCATGATCTCAATCAAAAACTTATTTTTTAGTATTTTTCTGTTGTATCAGGTAAACGTTTATTATTGTTTTGGTAATTCAGCTTACGTAATTCAGGCTTAAATGATGTCAGTAAGTGATACTAAGTCATATGTACTCGAATTTCAGTGGATAATACCATCATCAGCAAAAATGTCGATATATTATGCCTATATGTAGCAACAACTGACAAGAAACTCAAGTACGAGGATTTATGTCGATTGGTCACAATCATCTGACATCACCAAGTTTCCAAGCTCATCTAACCTTGAAATTGCGTTGTCTTTTGGTTGATAGAATTTAAAGAGTAGACAGTGTCGCTCTGGTTGGTACTGCTAGTATAGCTAGTATACAAAAAGATGACAGTTAAATAGATTACTTTATTCTAGAATCACAAGAATGACTAATACAGCACTCCAGTATACATATGAATATTTTCCATGTCTTGCCACTGTTACGATTCGATTAGTGTTGTTTTATTATTACTACTGATATCACAGATTCTATTCTCATCACATTTAATGCATTGATCTTATATATAAAATTGTATTCAAAGTAATCAATTAAACTTTTCCTGCTAATAATCAATCACTGACATTATACAACACAATGCTTAGGAATCTCATACTAGGACAAAATAGTTTCAAGCTTTTCAATAGTGATCTTACATAGATCAGTTCATGATCTTAATGAAATTGAAGGATCTTCATCAATTTATCATGCTAATTACTAATCAATAATATAAAGGAAGATGAAAGTTAAATGAAAATCAATAAAAGTTAAAGACATAAAATCAATAATCAGTTTTATTGAAATGTTTTTTGCAAAGTAAAATTTTCCACATTCTAATAAAATGTACTACTTTTTAACGGTTGAATTAGACTTTTTTGCCACGTTTTTACTATACCATGATGTGCATATTCTAAAAATAGAATTTTAATAAAAACACAAATAAATTTAAATAAAGAATCTTTTATCAGAAGGGGTTTGTGGAGATTTTAGAAATTTTCACAGATTTGAATCATAAGTCAGTTGAAGCTAGACCACCATTGAAAACCTGGAAGCACTGGACAGCCGTTTCGTCCTAGTATGGGACTCCTCAGCAGTGCGCGTCCTGGGTTCGAGCCCCGCGTGGTGCGGGATCTTGGATGCGCACTGCTGAGGAGTCCCATACTAGGACGAAACGGCTGTCCAGTGCTTCCAGGTTTTCAATGGTGGTCTAGCTTCAACTGACTTATGATTTAAATCTGTGAAAGAATATTTTCAAAAAAGAGGGAGCTGTTATATCCCGATAAGAATAATGAATAGTAACTGTTGGAATCTATTTCTAGACTATTACTATATGTATATTTTTATCGTATAATTGGGAAATAACTAAACTATTCATATTCGTGTTCCTCTTATCATAAGCTTTATTTTGACCTATGAACCGTTATTATACGATTTACCATTCTTGTGTTATGCCCAGTTCATCAAGTACTATCTCTTACATTCACAGGCACATTTGGCTAAATCTTGTACAAACGTTGTTTCTTATTTTATGATACGATGTTATCTGTTTGGTTGGGATATAAACCCAGTATGTTTGAAATGCATGATTCATATCGCAGAGGCTGAGATTAGTGTTGTGGACTTAACAGGCAAGGCTAGGTGGGAAGCAGGACCGATATGAACTCTAGACTGTTCGTACAGGTTTTATGTGTCATTGGTCCAGTCGATAATTCACTGTTCTCTAATTGGTGGTAACAGAATCATGAAAATTAACAGCATGCTTATCTTTTAAAATCCTGAAGATAATCTGTTTTGTCCTTTTTAATTGACATAAAAAACTGGTCAGATAGATCATCAGCTTTGAAGAAACTAGTAATCTTTTTAGGACATCTGAACGCTTGTCGCTTGGAACAGAACTCGTACTACTCAAGAATAGGTTGTTATTGCATGATAATGGCATTTATACTGTAACATGCAATTCAGACATATCGATGGAATGATTCCTGGAGTAAATCTTGATATGCGATTCAAATCGATTTTCCACTTTATCGAAGATCAACTAATAATAATTTAATAGTTGAGTTCATGAGTCAATTGAAGTTAGACCACCATGGAGAACCTGCAAGCCCCAGACGACCATTTCATCCTGTTGTGAGATTCCTCAGTAGTGCGCGTCCGCAACCACAATCCCCCGGGATTCGAACTCAAGATTTATCAGTCTCGCACGCGAATTTTTAACCTCTAGACCAGTGAGCTGGCGGGCACCCAACAGTGTTAATGTTTAACTTCAACCAATTCACGAAATTGGGCCACCGTCCACTATTGTCTTCAGTGAGTTACTATCTCACAACAGACCCGTGGATGTTCACATCTGAGGAGTAAGATAAAACGGACATCTAGTGCTTCCAGGTTTTCCATGGTGGTCTAGCTTGAGTCGACTATTAAACAACTAATAAGAACCAATGAACCATACATATGATTCTAACCAATTAATTTTATTCATAAGATATATCAGCTTTTTATGAATATTTTAAAAAACGTATTCTTCAAATGAGAACTGATAATTTTAATAAAATTCAGCTGTTAGCGATACATTTATTATTGTCGGAAGAAATCAAGGGGATTAATAGTGTCGATTTTACAAAGAAGAGAGTAGTTAGGAGACAAAATTTCTTTCTATTTGTTCTAATAAGCGCTACAAACCCAAGAATGCTCAACGAACAAGTATACGGAAATACATGTCACAGATCAAATATTTTATCATCGTAAAGTAAACCGTTATATCAAAAGCTTCATAAAAATATTACTAAGGAATTGACCGGTCATTGCAAAATGAACCCAGAAAACCACAAAATAAATAGTCCAACCATATATGGGACAAATCTCGGAAATCCCTAAAAGAGTTTTGATGGGATAGAGAATAGGTATTTCCTTGAATAACTTGGTCTCCTCCTCTTCACCTAAACATACATGGATGTAAACTGGCAGTGAAACGACATGATGTATCATCATTAATATTAGTGTATGCCTACAAACATCAATTTATTTCGGTTAATGTCAAAATTCTGTGTCGACGAAAGTTAAACAATTTCCAAACGATTAGGAACATGAAATGGATGTCAGTCGGTAGTTGGTAGACATACTGCTATAGATCTAGACTGTCAATGCTTATGGAGAATATCAGTCAGTTAAGTGTTACGAGGTCAACCGAAATAGACAGTAAACAGGAGTTCAAGGGAAAATAGAGATAACGAAATCTATTTAAATATTTAAATTGCTTATCTCTGTGTGAAATAATATCGTCCAGCAAGACTGACCTTGTCACTTGCCTATGTGCTTTGTTAGCTTTAATTTCTTTGGCATTCGGTGCAGCCAAATCCACTGTTGTTACACAATCACCATCTTTCACTGTCAACTGATCGTCTTTATCCAATACAAGCTTAAGTTGTTCCAATCGAAGGAACATTTGATCTGAATTTTTTTTTAAATGAATAAACACAAAGTTAAAATCTTCATAAAACAGATTATCTGAGATATATCTAACAGTGAATACACAATCTCCAACTTTAGCGTGGACAGGATATACTACATGAAACTGTTTATTAAAAACATACGATAAAGTTCTAAGTAGAATATCTGTTGAAAAGTTAAATGATTTGAAATAAATGAACAGATAATAAGATCTATAAGTTGATCAATACTAAATGGTTTACTTCATTAATCAAATGATTGTTCATTAAAGAACAAACATTTACTACTTCTGAAACATTTGAGGTTTTTGACACTGAAGTATTTATCAATCTAAATTAAGTTTTAAAACCATTTAAACATAGTTTCCTTCCATTTAAATATTAAAACATGATTGTAAGCAGGAATGTGTAATACTATAATCAACCTTTAAAATAATCCATTGAACAATTTGTCAGAGTGTTTACTTATGATAAAAAGAAATAATCAACATATTGTATTGGCATAGTTAAACAATATTTGTCATGAAGTCTGAATATTATTAGAAATAGTTAGTTACAGACCAAAGAATTCATAATAAGTTTGGAACTCATTACAGATATAACTATCATATGGGAGGATGAAACAAAATGATAATCCAAATGTTTGACTTTAATCATCAAAATAATACACTGAATATCGAATGTAGCGTTCTCAAGTGAACAGATGCATACATATATGTCAACATGAATTTGAATCATTTTTATGCTTGAATTAAGAGTTTGAAGTAGTTCATCAAAACTTAACAGATTACAAACTTAATGTGTACACTAATCAATCGTAGGCCTTATTGTGCCCAATTTAACAACACACACATTGCATCTTTATTTCCATTGTTGGAAATATCTGTAGAAGGTCTTAAAAATCAAGCTTTTTTAATTATCTCATCGTTTTACATTTCTTTGTCACTAGATTGTTCCATTGACGCCTCTGTTCAGATTTTGGGTAATCAGATGAAATTACTAGGGATATTGTCCATTAAACAGAGATAATCTATAGTGATGGTAGAATGACAGGTTAAAAAACTCACATTCGGTCATGATTGAATTTACAAGTGATAAAAGTTCATGGAAATAGCTAACTCTTTGATTATCAAATGAATAAAGACTTAGACAAATCATGAGTGTGAAAAGATGATATAGTATGGCATATATTTCATTATATATATCTTAATATTGTTTGCATAATTCAGTTTCGTTTAGATATAAACTTACTATTTTCATTAAATTCAATTGGAATATAAAGATTACTGAATTCGGTAATTACCATTGGCATAATTGATAATGATGCAATAGATAAAAATAGTAATAGACTAATGGAGATGAAATTCATTTCTGTTCAACGTTTATTATGACTATTTATTCAGAAAAGAAAAAAGACAAAAAAAATTGTGTTATATAAAAAACTAACACAAAAAATTTCAAACAATAATACCAGAAAGAACTTTTTGTGGATCTTATGGTAATTTAATAGTCGAAATCATTAGTCGATTGAAGCTAGACCACCACCACCACCACCACGGCTCAGATAGCTCAGTGGTAACGTCTCTGACTGTGAAGCTGGGTGACACGAGATCGAATCCGCCAGGGAGCACCAGTTCCCTCAAGATTACAGGTACACCTTGCTGACGAGTGCCAAAAAGCACGAAACCCGGGTCCAGGGTTTCCTGTTGACTACCTCCACCCACCATCTAAATCTCAATACATAGTGCCTGCAGTGTCGATTCACCTAGACTGGTGGCCACATTGCAACATGATCGATAGCATTCGATCTGCACTAATAAGGACTAGACAAGCAAGACACTGATCACCACCCAGTGATCAATCAATTGTAACAGCTAGACCACCATGGAAAACCTGAAAGAACTGGATGGCCGTTTCATTATATTGTGGGAATCCTCATTTAATAATTAACTTATTAACAGATTATTTTCTTGAAGAATGTTTAATCTTTAGCTCAAAGAAAATTTCTGTGATAAATCATTAATATAAAAATTGGTTAATAATAGGCAATACACTATTTGTAGACACTTGAACAAATCAAAATATTATGTTGTTTTTAACTCGTTAACATATTGAGACAATGAGAGGAAGGGGATATATGGAGATGTATTCATAAAAATTAATTTTGGTAACTATTTAAGGAGAACTTGTTCTATACTGATAAATTAGTTCCCGTGACAAAAATACTCAATATCAATGTAACCCTTGGAGAATTTCTATAACATTAAAAAATCTTTACATTGTTGTGACGGCAGCTTGCTAATATGTTGAGGCTAATGTCCTCAATATCTGACTCCAATAAATAATATCTCCGTAAACTGAGTATTTAAGGTAGGCTTAATCTCCTAGTCGAATTACGGATTTACTCGAGATTATTCAGAAGCCTGAACATCAGTTGTAGAGATAGTTTATTGTTAATGGATAATGAAAATCCGCAAGTGTACAGTGAGCAAGCACACGATGAAACAAAGTGAGTGAGTCAGTGTGTGTGTCAAAAATCCATATATATAGTTTTGAGAGTTAATCAGGTGTGGATAAATTTTTGATTATCTGTATATTACCACCAATAGGAGAATAGCTTAAGGGTTAATGTACAGATATGCATTCGATCATACACACTGAAATTAACATAGTGAATTAAGAGTCTGAAATGCACACAAATTAACATGATGAATTAAGAGTCTGAGTTACAATGAATAGACAAATGATACAGTGGTCAAATGGGCTTGCCACAACATACATCCATATATACTACTAGCTAAGTAGTATTTTAAAAATTATTCAAGGTTGGCTGTATGGTGTAGTTTACTTTGAAATATTTTAAACATCGATCTTATGTAATGAATAAATTCAGTTTGGATAATATTATGTTAACTTTGTTGTGTGTGTGTGTGTTTGTATGCACGTTTTATAAATATAGATTAGTATCCAATTGGCAGGATTAATATGAAGTTGGAAATATTGATTTATTATCCAGAATGGTACTTCTTTTTTTTGTTACGGCTTATCCTTAGTTTGTCTAATTGACTTTTTTCAGTTTTCATGTCATAACAAGTCTATGTGTATGATCAGATTATTCGAAATGTATTACGCTAATATATCATCACATAATTCTGATAACCTTCGTCTTTTGATTGCATTAACGAAATTCAAAATTGGTTAGATCGAAGTGATTGTGTAGTAAGTAAACAAAAGTGTAAATTGACATTACTGCAGTATTAAGTCATTCTGTATAACTGTCGATAAAGACAATTTTTATTCTGTAGTTGAATTCATAAGTCCATTGAAGCTAGACAACCATAGGAAACCTGGAAGCACTAGACAACCATTTCGACTTACTGTGGGACTCCTCAGCAGTGTACATCCACGATCCCGCCTCGCGACATTCCAACCCAGTCAGGCGCGCGAACGCTTAACTTCAAACCGCTGACCTAACATCCTATGGAGCTAATATTTAATCTCAACCAATCCACAAAGTCGAGCCTGTGAACACTAACATAGAGATGTTATAATTCAGTTTTAAAAGGGAACATTAAATACTGTTTACTTTAAAAGATTATAAATATTGTTCAAAAGCTACTCAACGGTTAAGCTAAGAAAATGGTTTACATCACTAATATACTTTCACTGGACAACCATTGTCAACCAAGGAATACCGAACATCAATGAGAAGTCAGTAATATGAAGATAGTTGTAAGATATTTTCCTACATAACACAAAAATCTTTGTTTCCAATGAACCTATCATTACTACTATAAGAAGAAATAATCTTTTTTTTAAAAAATAAAATTTACATTATCCCAATTGAACTTACATGATCAAAAAAGTTAAATAAATATCAGTTCAAATTAGTGACTATTTATACTGAATATATAGTCAACATTTTAAATTGGGGGGTATGACAATTGATCCATAAAAATCAATAAGAGAAACAAATCAATAATGGACAAAATTTGTTACATAATTATAAGGAATTATATGACATGAATATTGATAATATGTAACATATTTCCCATAGAGATTAAATAAATAAGGAATGAATATATTGACACTTATATAATGTGAATTTATTCAAAATTTCTACTATTGTTACATTGAGTAAATATAGGCAAACTGGTCAAACTTTAAATTTAAAGTTTTTTCTTCAAACATTATATACTTAAATTATTTGTGATTATATTACAGTAAGCAAGTGCAGATTTATACTGTTCGCGGGGTCGTGGATGCGCACTGCTGAGGAGTCCCATACTAGGACGAAACGGCCGTCCAGTGCATCCAGGTTTCCAACGGTAGTCTAACATCAACTGACTCATGATTTCTATCTGCATAATTTATATGTTTTTTAAGTATCAATGATACTATACAGTGAACTTGATTGCAGTAAGTATCGCATTGTATTCCAGGGCATGGGTCTTTTTCAGTTTGGGATCCGTTGTGGTGTGAGCTACTTATGTTCATATAAGTAGTATATAACGTGTGTTAAAAGAACGTAATGTCTAGCAGCGAAAGATGGCGAAGATCAAGAAAGGTAGAGCGAGAACACAATGGAATTTGTAAGAAAATGTATGAACAATGGAATGGGAGACAATGGATTGGTGTTTGCAACAGAAACAGTCCAGTTTGGTTTGATGCATGAATATTTTGCAAATTGACGATTGACTATATGGTATTCAGATTTTGTTGAGATAGACTGTAATTATTGTGCTAAATACGTCTGTTTGTCTCCACCCGTGTTCTTGTTCACAACACCGTCAGTTTACTATCTACCTACAGTATTCATATTCATATTGAGAATCAAACTTAACACTTCTCATTTCAAACGCATTATCCATTGAGCTACTGAGCCCATGTGACGTATACATAATAGATGTACTAAAACATTTGACTTAACATTTTATCAAGCTCATCTACTCAAGTTACACATATGGTAATAGAGATTTGTCAACTACAATCTTGAATATTCATAGTGTAAAATTTCATAGTCTTAGTAAATGAATTTTTACATTTAAAAACAACTCACTGAAGACAATGGTGTACGGTGGCGCAACTTCGTGGATTGGTTGAAGTTAGACATTAACACCGTTGGATGCCGGTTCAGTGGTCTAGTGTTAAGTGCTCGCGCGCGGAGCCAGTAGGTCCTGGGTTCGAGCCCCGCGTGGTGCGGGATCGTGGATGCGCACTGCTGAGGAGTCCCATACTAGGATGAAACGGCCGTCCAGTGCTTCCAGGTTTTCAATGGTGGTCTAGCTTCAACTGACTCATGATTTCAACTTGTGTAATCCATAACTATTTCATAGAATGTGTATACACACAAAACTATATAAAAACCATTCAATGCTATCGGCATAGTAATGAACAATCATGAATAGTGTAAATGATGTGTTTTTTTTCCAGTTGGCTGATTCATTTTGAAGTTTACAGTTTGTATATATTTGATAGATATTTGGATACTAGATAATTATTTTAGTCCGATGATTTCAATAACTCAATGAATCAGTTGGAAGATACTTTCATGTTTGTTAGGATTGGGATAAGTTAGATGTATTCATGACCGTCCCATTTAAGGTACTGAATAATTTCAAGAAATAGAAATGAGTTTATTATCATTCAACGATTGTAATTGCTGTAATCAAATGCTCTAATTATAGCAGTTTTTAAAGTTCTTTATGACTTATATTATTAAAGTCTTCATGAGTTGAGTCATATGATCATTTATTTTAGTACTCAGTTTACTACCGTTTGTAAATGTTTGCATTTTACTCACTGTTTGATTGATTATTAATAGCGAACAAGGTCATTGAACGTATCTCAAAATATTTCCTTTTGTTCCCATGTGTATAATGGTGGAATCTATGATATATATTACATTCTGGATGTACTCACACTGATATTCGAACTCAATACCCATTAATTCAAGTCCCTATATGATAAACAATAATCTACTGAGTTCATTTAAGGACTAATTGATCCAAAGACGATGATAGCTACTATTTTTTTATATGTGTTCATATACTAGAGTGATGGCATAGCATTTGAGGCTCAGTGTTTACTTGAAGGGATGAAAATCGAACTGACAAGTTCCAAAGAGGACGTCATCTTAGACCTGCATCTTAACTGTAATCTAAAATGTAATGTTCAATTTCCTCATTTATTATGGTTGGTTGAAGCATTTTAGGCTTATTATAAATACTGTCATTAAAATTCAAATCTTCGTTTATAAAAACTACAGTGAATGGGCTTATCTGTTGCGGATTTATCATTAATCTTTGAAGTTGTAACGCAGATAGAAAACAAATAACAATTCTGATGTTTACTGATGTTTCTCGAAAGCTCACATTTACTGACTCTTAGATTGATGATTTTATGTTATAATCAGGTTTCTTTTATAAAACAATTTCTTGTTGTTTCTTCATGTTGCATGGAATAGCTAGTATTTCTGTATATATCCGTTAAAAGGAATAAAATATTAAGTCCTTGAGAAACCCCCTATTTTTAATGAATTTAATTTACATTAGAGGATAGTTTAGCATGCAGTGATTTGGATGACTCTCACGGTCTCCTACATTCTACGAGCATTCCATGTACCTAAATTAATGGTTGCTCTGGTTGTCAAAAGGGTCATCATCCACGTGACTCCTGATGGAACTCGGCTTTCACCATGAGGTGTCACAATTCGTCTAAATGAAAATCTTTCAACCCCTAGAGGAGAGTTTAAATAGTTTGAATTATCTTTACTGGTTATCGTTGTTTCAGCCAGTTAGTTTTCTACGGGATGAAATCACTCACTTCATGCCCAACCCTCCTACTTTATTCGGGCTTGGGACCAGCAGTAGCCCCAGAGAGGCTCTAGGCGGAGTTGATAGTTTAGTATGAATAAATTATAATCTAGAGAACTGTAGAAAAGACACATTCTAAATATCACTTCTATTTCAGCAAAGCAAAATATTATAAGATAACTGAAGGTGTATCGTACCCAGTGTATTTAAAAGCTTTAATAGAATTCCTACAGTTAATTCATGCATATAACGATATTAAGTGAAAATGAATCTGCCGTTTCATTGAGAAACGTGAACTCTGTAAAATTAATGGACTGCCGGAACAAAACATCCTTCTCATTCAATGATCGCTTGTATTTTTGAATAACTGAATCACTAACCAGACAACTATTAGTGGACTGAATTTGAAAAGATGTGAACAAAATCGAATGTACGTGAACTGCTATAGATTCATACTAAGTAAGCTCTTTTTTAATTTAAAACAGAGATGGATAATATCTAGTGATGAAATCTAGGACGCGTGTTTTGCCTTATTTGAAACTGTTCCCTGGATGGACCTTCATTCCATGGTTGGTGTTCACTCTGGGACTTGAACCTAGTACGATTTACACCAAATGTTATCACATTATCCACTAAGCATCTGAGTCCATATAACCACTAGCTTATTTAGTAGGGTGAATTTTCCGTATATATGGATCCCGCGGGGATCACCTCGATATTATCATTGAGTCACAAGTATTTTAGGCAGAGGCAAATAGTGGTTAGTAGTGTTTGAATTGCTTGTGACTTATTGGCAATACCGAGGATACACTCATGTCATAAACAGACTGATTGCTACCACAGGTTTTCATTTGATAGACATGATCGTGCATGATATTAATCATATTTTTACATCTGTTCAAGTATAAATTTGGATAAACTAAATCCATCCTTGAAGACAATCTAAAAACAAATCTCTTATGTTTTAACAAGAATTTTAGCATTTTATTTAGCATTATTTCACTGTATAAGTTTGCTTCGTAAAGATGATCATGGTCTTTCCAATAACTTCATGGCTTGATCTACAAAGGTTAATTATAGACAAAACTATACTCCTAGAGATTTTAAGGGAATAATGAGGATTTCTTATGAAAGAAGATAGATAACTGAAAGTATTAGCTCTCATTTTAAGTGGATCGAATGTTTCAGCAATGAACTCAACTTGAGTATTCACTGGATGTTTTGTAAATATGTAAACATTGATGTACAGTAAAGAACCGGAAAAAATGAAGTGGGAATATCATGAGGAAATGAGAGAGTGAGAAAAGTCATACAGCCAAGGAATAGATGAACAAGTATAGTGTTTAAACGGAGGTATAATTTAGTCGAAAATATAGCCAATAAAGATTATTTTCCTGTTTAGAGAACTGTTATAAATTTTATCAATCTTGGACACAACTATAAGAAGTCTCTACTGGATCCTGTTCTGGACTAGTTCTAATGATAACTCAACCCATTGGGTTGCATGAAATCTAGCTACCCAGCCGGAAGATCTATGTCGATCGAGAGGTCCTAGTGAAATACAACGTTCTGTGACAAAATGCTACTATGTCCTAAACTTATATCTCTATATCTTCTCCACTCAATCCCACAGTTGACAATTAGTGGTTGTTAAAAAAGCAACTAGGATGACATTCATAAAATGTATGTCATGGTGACACCCACTAAATTGTCTTCTATGAGTCAAAACAAACACTAGCAAACCTAGCCATTACCGAAATGGTATTTGCATCAGATGTGAGCAATTTTTTAGGATAACATACTCGAAAACTATGAGTCATTAATTACCCTCACATTTGAATATCTTGGTCCTACAAACATAGACCAGAATTGTTTTAAATGACTAGCCGTTTACTAGAAATTTTAGAGCCAGATTGACATCACATTGGCTCTGAAGATGGGCTAAATCGGTGTCGACTGCTGTGGCTTCCACTATACTGACATTGCTGAACAAACTACATAAGTATACACGTAAACTTCCAATTATATACTGATATCAACAAATTCCCTTGGACAGTCTCGTTCAAAAGCAAAAACGAGAAGAAATAAACATTTTATCATTCTCTTTTCACACACACACACACACACGTACACTGCATATACACAAAAAATTATAAAGGATTATTAATATATTTGAAATGATACTCGAAATCCAGTTCAAAGTTAGATGAAATATGATGATCTTATAGCCATGAGATCATTAAGTGTATACGTATAAATTTGAGAGGGGATGTTACATAACTGAAATAACTCATATATTTACCTGCTTCGTTGTAAACGTATTTATTTCTAATATTGATGAATAATTTATGTAGTTATTGTTTGAAAAATATTTCTTGTTTACTGTTATATAAAATGAAATAAAAGTTAATTTCAAGTGAGGAACGTAACAATCAAGCAATTTATTATTCTCCTCTTCTTCATGTTAGATTGCATATACTACTCATTAATTTCCAAATGTTATATGTAAGTAATAAAATTAGGAAAGATGATTATTTATCGTGCTTGTTTAGTAAATTTTCAGTATATCAGTGTTTATTGTCAATTTTGAATATTTATGATGCAACCAATTGGGTCAATACATTTAGTAATGTATATACTTTCCATCAGATATTACACACCATCCCCTCCAAATATTGATCACAATAAATGCAGAGTATTTTAAGATAAACAATTTTGCTTACTTACAAGTAGTTCAATAAATAACACACAAAAAATGTAATCATTTCAAAAATGAATTACCATTGACCAAAGATTATAGTCAATATTAATTTGCAAAGATAACTAATAACAACAAAATATATTTCAGTTTAAAGAATAAAATAATAGAGATCAAAATAAATTACTAGTGATTAAGGGGAAACAAGTGGAGTTTCTTCTAATTTTTTAATCGTACATTTTGTGAAAGTAATTTATGAGAAGTGTTTGTGAACAAAACATATACATACGTACATGCATACATACATACATGCACACAAACGAACAAACATACCTACATACATACATTAAAATTGGTAGAATTATGCCGAATTGAAATAAATGATAAAGCGGTACAATAAATAAATAATTTATGAAAAAAAATTACACAACATTAAATAAAATTACAGAAAATATTCCTCCTCAAAAAAATCGTTCGTTTTTTGTTTCTCCTTTAAAACTAATAAGAACTATGAACATCACATTGAATGTTAATTTTCATTCATTCAAATCAGATTATTTGTTTATTTTACCTTGAACTACTTTTGTCAAAATAAGTAGTTTGAAAATGTTATCCAGCTTTTTTTTCTATTTTATTATATTTTCATCTGGAAATGTTGAGTTTATTTGAGTAAACTGAAGATGTTCATCGAATTGTAATTCTTAAAAGAATTAATCCCTTATTCATTACTATTATTGTAATTATGTGTATACAATTATGTACACTAGACAAAATAATGAATAGGTTCAACTGAATTTCGAATGAAAAATAAAATAGAAGAATATACTTTTCGATTTCATTCTACCATTATATTTATGATGAAAATATTTGTCTATTATTTTGTGTTCATATGTATGTATGATATCCGCCTTCACTTTCACTTTCTCGCCTTCTCTCTAGAAACTTGTGTACATTGAATACAATTAAATGAATGTGTACATTTAATTATTAAACATAAATATACGAGATTATTATTAATATAGAATGTTTAAAATAAATAACATCAAAGAAGATAAGAATAAAGAAAGAAAAAAAGAGAAGAAAAAAAAGAGAAAATAAAGTTTAAATCATATTGAACACGATATATTATTATTATTATTATTATTATTATTATTATTATTATTATTATTATTATTATTATTATTATTATTATTATTATTATTATTGTAGTTTTAGTTCAATATGGTTTTGTAGAATCACTTTTTGGACGTTTCAATTGAACTTTAAGACGTTTCATACCAATTTGAAAACCATTCATTGCATGTATAGCTGTTTGTGCACTTGTTGGATTATCAAAGCTAACAAAACCTAATAAAATAATATTAAAAAAAGAATTTTAGTCTATTACTATGAGACAAATAAGTAATGGTATTATGTGTATATCAATTTTTGCATCATTTATAATTTTATATTTACGGATTAAGTATTACTTCCGGTTTCATTGAACCTGTTTAAGGGTAATGATCGCTGAACAAATTAAAATGTTATTTAAACGGTAAACATAAAGATTATGAAATTGTCTAATAGTTTATCATATAATATTATGCAATATGGTTCAGGGAAACTCTGGATATTTACAATTATTTAGCAGTGAGTAGTGGTCAATGTTACTTGCTTACTTACTTACTTACGTCTATTACTCCCAATAGGTTATAGGCTGTTGACCAACATTCTCCGACCCACTCTGTCATGGTCCTTCCTTTCTACATCTACCCAATTCTTGTTGATTCTTCTCATGTCTGTCTCCATTTCTTGGCGTAATATGTTTTTTGGTTTCCCTCTTCTCCTTTGACTTTGAGGATCCCAAGTGAGAGCACGACTTGTGACGCAGTTCGGTGCTGTCCTCAATGTGTGTACTATCCACTTCCAGTGCTTCTCCTTGATTTCTTCCTCCGCTGGTCAACGTGGTGTTTGTTTAATCTTTAGTACGGATCGTATTCCATCAGTCCATTTGCATTGTGCTTACTAATCTAAGCATTTTCACATGTTTGGATGTTTAATGGGTAGAGACAATCATTTAAAATGTTTCAGTCAGGTCTAGATGGAATAACCCATTATTAGTGTCTGCAACTATGATACTATTTGGTAGGGACTCGAAAAGTCATTCCCTTAATAGTTATGATATGCTTTGTAAATGAGGGTTATTTGATATGAAACTTAGATTCAGAGTTTTCCATCGGTTACCTCCAACCAGGTAAATTCAAACTTGATATCTATTAAGTGTGTTTGAGGATTGTTCATCTTCGTTAAATTTTGAACAAATAATTTTTTCATTAATAGACTCATAACCAGGTAATTATATCCCTATCAAAATTTCATAAATTATGCGTTGTCGTTCATGTTAGGATAATTATTATACTTTGTGATCAAAATCAGAGAAGGTTTGTGGTTGTAATGCTCCCAAATACCCTGGTACAGCCGAGAGTGGGGAGAGTCAACTCTCCACCTCCAAATGCTTCCACATGGCCACTTGCATACAACGACTGCCAGAGAAGTCCCATTTACTGCCTTCTCGTGTCGGGGGTGTTTTTTACGAAATTTACAGGACGAAAAACGAATATCCGGCGCTTTAACCGAGTTGGTGGATGTGGAGGATCCACCTATGGGAGATAGAAAACCTTGATTCCAAACCAATAGTGCACATGGACTCCACTATCCTGAGGCAAGAATTAGAGTATGAACCAATCGTTGGTCACCAGCTACCATGGGACTGCATCTCCTGATGTTGCTCCACTTCCTTGTAGATCAGACTTTTAGGTCAAAAGTTCGGTGTGTGGCCCCCTACTCTAAAACCACCAGTTTCAGTACCCGATCATTATCTTAGCCCTTGCACAAATCGAACGATTTATGTGGCGCATATGTATTTGGTACCTCTTTGTACCAATGTTTATGTAATTAAATAAATTAATAAAAATGTTATTGTCATATTATAGACCAATAATACATTTAGAATAATAACTGCCTAATACGTAGTAGAATGAACAAGTTCTCATAAGATCAAATGAACAATTGGTAAAATAGCTTGTATAGAATAAAAATTCGAGTAATTGACTACTCTCATTTCACATTAAAGGGATAATACTTTGGAGAATTCCTTTCATTACTACAAATTGATGATAAAGTTGACTATAACATAACTCATTTATCAAGTAGAAATCTAGAAAATTGTCTTATAACTACACTTTATAATGTGAGGGCTAGTGACATTGTAGTGAAGAAGAACACAGATGGGGACAATCGAATGTATTTGACAGGACTTGTTCATAAAATCTAACAATCATAAAGTAAATACTTAATTTGAAAAATGTCCATCAATTGTCTCAAAATGACTCAGACTTCATTGTTCTTGCATTTTCATACAAATTGCATCCTGTTTCCATTCTCTACTGTTCGATCCTCTTGTCTCTCTGCTGCCAGACCTTCTGTTCACGGCTACCATCATATACTACTAATGTCAATATAAGTAGCACACGCCACAATATTATTCAACTGCTTAAGTCAAAATTGGGCAAAATTAAGAAAGTGAAACCTCTTGTTTACTACTTTTTTCATTAAACTAATAATACCATAGCTTTTAAAATAAATACTATTTAAATTAATGAAAAGAACTTACCAAAACATTTACTTTGATTCGTTGCACGATCAACATATACTTTAGCACTGATTACTGTTCCAAATGGCATAAACATCTGAGCCAATTCCGGATCGCCAAATTCCTGTGGTAGGTGGTATATGAAAAGATTGCATCCCTCTGGTCCTATATACATACATATATATATAAAGATAGATGTTGATTTGAACTTGATTCATACATGTTTATTAATCATATACACAGATATAAGTTTATCATTCATTAACTTGTATACTGGTATTGATAAGAAAGAAGTACAGAATGGATATTAAAAGAGGATTAATGTGATTTGTTGTTAAGCTCATTGCGTTGATCAAAATTTGTTGATCTAATTTTAATTTAGTCGATAATGTAAGTAACTTAAATTTACAGGGTGTTTCGTCTTATCCTTGAGGTGATGAGAAGCAATTTAATAGGTTAGCCATGGACTCAGAATTCGTTGATATAGTTTTAGCTTTGGGTGAACTGTTACTCTCCTCCCATGTAGAATACGAATATTCGTTATTTTGTGTCATTGTTAGTTTTGGAAAGAAATCGTACCAAATGAGTTCAGTCATGTCTGAAGTGAGACAAATATTATCAATGATACCGAAGAATGGTTAGGTAGTATTGTAGTGAAACGGAGACCTGCTGGCGTAAACCAATTTATTGTCGAATTGAAAAGTACAGAGTAGTTTAGTAAAATATTAAGACTATACATTAAATGTAGTATTTGCATATCTTTCTCCAATTTCCCCTAACATGCTTCACGATTTTTTAATCCTTTTGTTATTGTAATTGCTTTCTGTTTACATTCTTGTTCTCTTCATCTTAATTTTCTCAATCTTATGCTGCCAGACATTCCACTTGTGATTGGTGTCACATACTACTTATATCTGTCAGTATAAGTAGCATCTATTATAGTATCAGAAATTTATTGCGATTAACAAACTGAAACATTTTATGCCGAATACGTTGTATTAATATAGAAATGAGCCTAAACGTTAATGATGAACACTCTGAAACTTATCCATTAACAATGTACTCCTATGAGTAAATTTGTTGGCCAGAATTATTCATTTTAAGTCCGTTACTACTATCCAATATACGTGTGTTTTGCTGTACATGTTCACTGACTGACTATATGTATTCTTCATTTTTTTCTGTGTACTAGTTACATTAATTTGCCAATATACAAACAAATGAAGTAATAAAGGATACATTTTATTTGTTTTAATAATAGATATGAGGCCTAGATTTTGATTTAACAACACTATGTAATTTACTTAAATAAGATGACTGTAGAAAAACTAAATCCTACATGTAAAGAAATGATATCTAACTTCAATCGATCCATGATCTTGCACAACACTTCGTCTATTGTCTGAGGTGAATAACTGTCTAACACCCGACACGGATTAGACTCTTCTGGTCACGGCTTCTCACTAGAACTCTAGGAAATTCATCTTGAAGTTAGTCAGCAATGAGCACATGATTACTTTCAATAAGGGAATTTGTGAAGATTGTAGTATATTTAACAGTCTAATTGACGAGTTGATCTAAGCTAAACCAGTAATGAAAACCCGGATGCACTGGCCGGTCATTTCGTCCCAGTATGAGACTTCTCATCAGCGCGCATCCACGATCTCACACGCAGAACTTGAATCTAGTACTTTCAATCTCGCTTGTAAACGGTTGACCTCTAGACAACTGATGTCTTTCAAATCTTCAATGATGATCTAGCTTAGATCGACTCATAAACCTAATTATTAAATATACTACAGTCACCATAAATCCTCTTACTGAAAACAGATAATAATCACTTAAAACCATTTTTATGATAAAGTCAAAATCCATAAATACAATGCGTTATTTGTTATTTAGTCAGACAATAGTCTTTTTGATTTCAAATGTATTAAGGTGGATTTCAACTGATATTTAGGATCATGAGAACAAGGAGTGATGCAGAGATCTTAATAACTTGGGATGATTAGAAACAAAAAGAAAATCTGATCGGGAATAAGTTATGAACTTTATTCCACTAAAAAAAACTCAATAAAATTGAGAATTCAAGGATAGATTCATTGTGTATACGATTATTACATCATTTAGTAGTCATAACAATAATAATAATAGTGAACAAACAACTGAGATGGGGAAGACCAATTTATTGTTTAATGCAAAATTACAGAAAATCTTGAAGAAGTATGAAAACCATACATTCAATACTCTATTTGTACATATTCTATCAATTGTGCTTCACAAATTTCATTGTTCCATCACCCCTGTTGTTATTACAATTACTCCATTTTTATATTCATGTTCTCTTCAGTTTGATATCAATTTTCTGTTGCCGGGCACTTTACCGCTTATATCTGTCGACATCAGTAGCATACATAACAGTAGTAATGTAGTGAACGAGAATAAAAGTGGGGATAATCAAATGTATTTGAATACAAATTACAGAACATTTTAGCAAAATCTAAGAACCATATAGTAAATACTGAATATGCAAAATGTCAATCAATCGTCGCAAACTTGATTGTTCCTTTTGCAAATGTTAAACAGTCGTCTCAGACTTCATTGTTCCTTCATTTTCACAGCGATAGTTCCCTGTATTCATTCCCTTTTCTTTGATTATCTTAACGTTTTACCACCAGGTATTTCACTTTCTATTGATGATACATACTACTCATAGCTATCGACATTGGTAGCACACACCACAGTAGTATTAATAACAGTAGTAGTGTAAAGAATGTTAGTAGTATTGGCAGTAATGAATTCCGATAACATATTTCATAGTTATAACAGGACTTATAATTTACGAAAATAATATTGTATGTTTTCTGAAAATTACAATCATTTACATTTAGAAAGAATGATAACAGAAATGATGTAAATGTAATCTATCCAATAAGTATACAAATTGAGTTAAAATAAGAACTTTATTTTACAAAATTTAGTGGAAGTCGATCACTTTTATTCTGTTTCGAAAATACGGTTCATTATTGGGATTGTATTTGCTCCTAAGTCATTTCTGTGGCATCAAATGTTCTTGAAATTCTTCAGAAGTCAAATGTTTTAGTTAAATTAACAGTTGGAAATGATTTCTTCAATTTCAAATTAATCATCAGAACATTCTGAACAAATACTGATTCAAAATCCAGTTCACTAGCAAAAACTTGGACAATTAATCCACGATTGAAAGAATCAAGAGACAGGATACATTGTCTGTTCTCATCAATATATTTCATCCAAAATCTGTCATTCACCTGTATCATCCTTTCAATCTTATCGGTTAATACTGAAATGTTTGATTAACTTGAAAAGAGATTTTTTTTTCCCTAGATCTATCATCTCCACAAGTAGTCATCAATACTGAATGGATGTAATGAGATATATTCTTGTTTCGATAAACTTACTTACGCCTGTTACTCCTCATGAAGGAGCATAGGCCGCTCACCAGCATTCTCCATCCAACCCTGTCCTGGGCAATCCTTTCTAGCTCCGTCCAGTTGTAATTCATCGTTTTCATATCTGCTTTTATTATCCGACGCAATGTGTTCTTTGGCCTTCCTCTTTTTCGCTTCCCTTCAGGAGTCCAAGTTAGGGCTTGCCTCGTGATGCAGTTTGACGATTTGCGTAATGTATGTCCTATCCATTTCCATCGTCTTTTCCTAATTTCTTCTTCAGCTGGAAGTTGGTTTGTTCTCTCCCACACAAGGCTATTGCTGATGGTATCCGGCCAATGGATATTGAGTATCTTGCGAAGACAGCTATGTATAAATACTTGTACCTTCTTGATGGTGGTTGTTGTAGTTCTCCAAGTTTCAGCTCCATACAGTAGAACTGCCTTGACATTCATATTGAAGATTCTGACTTTGATATTGGTTGACAGTTGTTTTGAGTTCCATATGTTCTTTAACTAAAGAAATGCTGTCCTTGCCTTGCCAATCCTTGCCTTTACGTCTGCATCTGAACCTCCCTGTTCATCGATGATGCTTCCTAGGTATGTGAAGGACTCTACATTTTCCAGAGTTTCGCCATCAAGAATGATTGGATTGTTGTTTTCCGCTTTGAATTTGAGGACTTTGGTTTTCCCTTTGTGTATGCTGAGGCCTACTGATGCAGAGACTTCTGCTACATTGGCTGTCTTCATCTGCATCTGTTCGTGTGTACGTGATAGGAGGGCTAGGTCATCTGCGAAGTCCAAATCGTCTAATTGATTGCGAGCTGTCCATTGAATTCCGTGTTTTCCTTCAGATGTCGAGGTCTTCATAATTCAGTCGACCACCAGAAGAAAGAGGAAGGGAGAGAGTAAACAGCCTTGTCTGACTCCGATTCTTACTTGGAATGCATCTGTCAGCTGTCCTCCATGCACGACTTTGTTGTTTCGATAAAAGTTAAATGCAATTTATTTTGCGTGGTTATTGTACAAATCACACATCCGTAATATCTTGATAAGTACATTACATGAATAATGATCAATGCTTGAACAAATATTTTGACAGGATACAGGCACTGACTGTACAGAAGGCATTACTTGTAATCGGATCAATGAATATTTAATAGTTCAAGACGTTTTCTATGATACTTTTAGGAAATAAATCATCTTTAACAAGATAATGTAATTTTGAATAGTAAGAAAAGTGAAATCGAATCAAACAATCAAGTGTACATAAACAGGTTCTGACATTTTACTATCATATCTATCATATGTAACTATACTTGATATATGCATCGTAGTGAATATCTGTATGTGAACTCTTCTCCTCATATATTGAGGTGCTACAGATATACTATTAAAATCATAAGTAAACTATGCAATTTCCAATCAGTTGAATTATAACAATGGTAAATAAAGCACTTCATAACAGATATTAACAGTTGGAGATTATCATTGTTTGTTCAACACTCTTCATTGGAGTAAAGTTTAGATTTTCTAGCTAATAACTAAACAAAGATTGTTTATACTATTAAACGTTGATATTCACCAGTCGATGAATCAGTCGATCAATGGTGCTGGAATTAACGGAAACATCTACTCAGACTCTATTCCATTGCAGTACTATTGTCTATGTTAATCCCGATAGTTTTCAATTCTCACCTTTTTTTTAAATGTTGATTCCATTCCAACCAGCACAAAT